AGTAGGTAGTAGGTAGTAGGTAGTAGGTAGTAGGTAGTAGGTAGTAGTAGTAGTAGTAGTAGCAGTAGTAGTAGTAGTAGTAAATAGTAACTAGTAGTAGTAGTAGTAGTAGTAGTAAATAGTAGTAAATAGTAGTAAATAGTAGTAGTAGTAGTAGTAGTAGTAGTAGTAGTAATAGTAATAGTAGTAGTGGTAGTAGGTAGTAGGTAGTAGGTAGTAGGTAGTAGTGGTAGTAGTGGTAGTAGTGGTAGTAGTGGTAGTAGTGGTAGTAGTGGTAGTAGTGGTAGTAGTGGTAGTAGTGGTAGTAGTGGTAGTAGTGGTGGTGGTAGTGGTAGTGGTAGTGGTAGTGGTAGTAGTAGTAGTAGTAGTAGCCTGTAGGAGCAGGAGCGAGGAGTAGGAGTAGGTGTAGGAGTAGGAGCAAAAGCAGGAGGAGGAGTAGTAGTAGTAGTTGGGAGTAGGAGTGAGGAGTAGGAGCAAGAGCAGGAGTAGTAGTAGCAGCAGTAGCAGGTAGTCGTGGTAGTGGTGGAACGATAGGGCCGGTCGGCCAGTTGACGCTGTGGTTTTTGGCCCGCCGGCCCGCCAGCTGGCGCCGTTTTGGCCAGCCGGCCGGCCGACGGGCTGGCTGATCGACAAATGGCGGTCCGGCTGTCCGCGTTAAGCTCGCAATGTAGTAGTAAGGCCAGGAGCCCCTAGTAGCGTCCTTGCTCCCAGTAGCGATGCCGCGATGCCCTTTGCTCCTAGTAGCGTCCTTGCTCCTAGTAAATAGCAAGGCCAGGAGCCCCTAGTAGCGTCCTTGCTGCTATAGTAGCGATGCCCTTTCCTCCTAGTAGCTTCCAGTTCCTAGTGGTAAGGCAAGGCGCCGTAGCGTCCTTGCTCCTAGTAGCGATGCCCTTTGCTCCTAGTAGCTTCTTGTTCCAAGTGTACAGTAAGGCCAGGAGCCCCTAGTAGCGTCCTTCCTGCTAGTAGCCATGCCCTTTGCTCCTAGTAGCTTCTAGTTCCTAGTGGTAAGGCCAGGAGCCCCTAGTAGCGTCCTTGCTCCTAGTAGCGATGCCCTTTGCTCCCAGTAGCTTCTTGTTCCTAGTAGTAAGGCCAGGAGCACCTAGTAGCGTCCTTGCTCCTAGTAGCGATGCCCTTTGCTTCTAGTAGCTTCTTGTTCCTAGTAGTAAGGCCAGGAGCCCCTAGGAGCGTCCTTGCTTCTAGTAGCGATGCCCTTTGCTCCTAGCAGCTTCTTGTTCCTAATATATAGTGAGGCCAGGAGGCCTAGTAGCGTCCTTGCTCCTAGTAGCGATGCCCTTGGCTCCTAGTAGCTTCTTGTTCCTAGTATATAGTAAGGCCAGGAGCCCTAGTAGCGTCCTTGCTCCTAGTAGCGATGCCCCTTGCTCCTAGTAGCTTTTTGTCCCTAGTAGTAAGGCCTGGTGCCCTAGTACAGTAAGCCTGTAAATCGATACGAACCGAGGTTTTGGAATCATATAGAACCGAATCGATTACGAACCGGTTAAGAAACGAACCGAACCGAATCGAACCCACAATTAACCAAGAATCGAAGCACGAACCTTCTCAACTCATTCGCTGCGCTACATATTTTACCGCCGTGTAACCCCAAGTGCCTGCCTATGCCCCAGCAAGCAGCTCCCGATCCCAAAAGACTTCTGTTTTGAGATCCATCTAATCTACACACTCGGCTTCAAACTCAGGTGCAAATTGAGCACGGCGCAAGCATACCTTGTCTCCTTCTAGCAGCTTCGTAGCCAGTCTAAAGGGCATGAAAATTCTGCAAAGCTGACGTCCTAAGTTCACCTGTTCCTGGTTGAAGCCATCAGGCGCACGGGTGTTGTGCCTGTGCTTTGAGAGCATGTGAGCTTGGTTGTTTGGCAAAGTCGACATGAGGGATACCATCGAGGAACTCCATCTTGTGGGTGTCTCCGCTGCAAAAGCTTGATAACGCAAGCTTTCTGCTTTTGCGCCCTTTTCCAATTGAATAGCGGCGTCTGAGTTGTGGCGGTACCACTGTACCATGCCCCTTGAAGCTTGAAAGAAAGGTTTGAGGCATTTCTGCAAGGCCTTTGCCTCAGGATCCGCTTTTCGACCCGGTTTGTTTGCGCGAGGTTCTCCAGCCTCATCATCTGATGATGATGCACTGTCATCACTGGACTCCGAAAATTCTTCTTCATCTTGGTTCCGCAAAGGTGGTAGGGTGTGTTTGATGCACAGCCTCAATAGCGTGGCTAACATGCCCTTTAGACGAATAGAATTGCCAAGGCGAACTTTTGTCTATACTGTCCAACCCCCAAACGACCACTTTGACCTTTCAAAACGCACTTTTGGGGGTTGAAGTGCGACATCATCTTGTCTACTCATATTCCAATCCCAAACAGGCTTCAGGGCCAATATAGTTTCGGGGGTTGAAGTGCAAGACGCACAAGAAACTATATGCAGCCGCATAGCTGAACACAATGACACCCACATCCCACCAAAGGCAGGTCTCCTTGATCTCCTAAAAGACGAAGACCAAGGCGAATTGCGCCTTCGTGGTCGCTAAGCCCACAAGATATGTCGCATGGTTTTAAATCAACGCTTTCAAGGCAAAGTACGAAGTGCTCCTTGTAGCTCTCACCTGTGCGTGGTGGAAAGGTTTCACGCACTCCGCAACATACAGCCTCAGCCTCCCAATCGGCATTGATCGAGTGCAAATAGACCGCAACGTAGGAGCGCCGCAAGCGCATTTTCGGCTTCCAGCTGTCAGCGCTCAAGCAAAACTTCGCTTTTCCTGCTTTGGCCTCCGCAATTTTGCGCCGCACCTCTGACCGGATGCGGCCAACACAAGCATCCACTTCCTTCTGTAAACTGTCTTCATGACCCAGCCCGGGCAGTCGGGGCTCTAAAACTGCTCGCACATGGGGATCATCTATGAAGTCCACCTCTCTCAGCGCTCCTAGAACGATGTGCTCTGCCCATGAAGCTAGCAAATCCCTATCCAACTTGCGCTTCTTGTGAGGACTTCCTTGTGTCCTGTCTTCCTGGACATACTCTGGCAAATGCTGTGGATGCTTAGCACGAACATGATTCATCATTGCGCTGGGAGTGTCCTTGTTCAAAACACAACCCCTGAAAGCACCACTTGGCGCAAAACCAGCATCTATGAGTTGCCTCACTTGATCCACTGACGGTTGCTCGTCTTCTTCTGCAAAGCAAAGCTTGCAAAATCTATAGTCGCCAGCGCCCATTCTCTTTGGCCAGAACATGCTGTGGACCCATGATCGCTCAGCGGCCATGTTCGCTTGCAGCAAGACGTATAATCTACTATTCGGTCTTAGAATCTTATACCCCTTGAATCCTGCAGCTGAGCAAAACATTGTAGAATCTAAATTTCACTACTGTGAAGAACTTCCTACGACATTCCAATTTGCTCTGAGACGGTAGGCACGGCGATGCATCCACAAATTTCTGCAGATCCCGCTCACTAATCGAAACAGAATATGTCGATTTCTGAGATCCTATTCAACCCCCAAATAAACCACTTTGACCTAAAAACCTTGTTTCGGGGGTTCAACTGAGACCCGCACTATTCAACCCCCAAATGAACTACTTTGACCTCAAAAACGCAATTTCGAGGGTTGAACTCAGACCCCCTCAGACCCCCACAGTTCAACCCCCAAATAAACCACTTTGACCTCAAAACCTGGTTTCGGGGGTTGAACTCAGACCCCCACAGTTCAACCCCCAAATAAACCACTTTGACCTCACAACCGCATTTCGGGGGTTGCGCTGAGACCCCCTCAGACACCACAGTTCAACCCCCGAATAAACAACTTTGACGCACCAGAGTTGTTGAAACGAATCGTTTACGAAACGAATGCGAATCGAATCGATGTACTGTATTTAGAAAACGAACACGAATCAATATCTGATTAATATGTCTGTGAAAGAACCTAAACGAACCTAAACGAACCAAAGGCTTCCTGCTAGTAGCGTGCTTGCTCCTGGTAGCGATGCCCTTTGCTCCTAGTAGCTTCCTTCTCCTAGTGTATAGTATGGCCAGGAGACCCTAGTAGCGTCCTTGCTCCTAGTAGCGATGTCCTTTGCTCCTAGTAACTGCCTGTTCCTAGTAGTAAGGCCGGCTCCTAGTAGCTTCTTGTTCCTGGTAGTAGGGCCAGGAGTCCCTAGTAGCGTCCTTGCTCCTAGTAGCGATGCCCTTTGCTCCTATCAACTTCTTGTTCCTAGTGGTAAGGCCGGGAGCCCCTACTAGCGTCCTTGCTCCTAAGCTTCTTGTTCCTAGTAGCAAGGCCAGGAGCCCCTAGTAGCGTCCTTGCTGCTAGTAGCGATGCTCTTTGCTCCTAGTAGCTTCTAGCACCTAGTAGTAAGGCCAGGAGCCCCTAGTAGCGTCCTTGCTCCTAGTAGCGATGCCTTTTGCTCCTAGTAGCTTCTTGTCCTTGCTCCTAGTAGCGATGCCCTTTGTTCCTAGTAACTTCTTGTTCCTGGTAGTAAGGCCAGGAGTCCCTCAGTAGCGTCCTTGCTCCTAGTAGCAATGCCTTTTGCTCCTAGTAGCTTCTAGCACCTAGCAGTAAGGCCAGGAGCCCCTAGTAGCGTCCTTGCTCCTAGTAGAGATGCCTTTTGCTCCTAGTAGCTTCTTGTTCCTAGTTGTAAGGCCAGGAGCCCCTAGTAGCGGCCTTGCTCCTAGTAGAGATGCCTTTTGCTCCAAGTAGCTTCTTGTTCCTAGTAGTAAGGCCAGGAGCCCCTAGTAGCGTCCTTGCTCCTAGTAGCGATGCCCTTTGCTCCTAGTAGCTTCTTGTTCCTAGTATATAGTAAGGCCAGGAACCCCTAGTAGCGATGCCCCTTGCTCCTAGTAGCTTTTGTCCCTAGTAGTAAGGCCTGGAGCCCCTAGTAGCGTGCTTGCTCCTAGTAGCGATGCCCTTTGCTCCTAGTAGCTTCTTTCTCCTAGTGTATAGTATGGCCAGGAGCCCCTAGTAGCGTCCTTGCTCCTAGTAGCGATGCCCTTTGTTCCTAGTAACTTCTTGTCCCTAGTAGTAAGGCCTGGAGCCCCTAGTAGCATCCTTGCTCCTAAGCTTCTTGTTCCTAGTAGCAAGGCCAGGAGCCCCTAGTAGCGTCCTTGCTGCTAGTAGCGATGCTCTTTGCTCCTAGTAGCTTCTAGCACCTAGTAGTAAGGCCAGGAGCCCCTAGTAGCGTCCTTGCTCCTAGTAGAGATGCCTTTTGCTCCTAGTAGCTTCTTGTTCCTAGTTCTAATTCCAGGAGCCCCTAGTAGCGTCCTCGCTCCTAGTAGCGATGCCCTTTGCTCCTAGTAGCTTCTTGTTCCTAGTAGTAAGGCCAGGAGCCCCTAGTAGCGTCCTTGCTCCTAGCAGCGATGCCCTTTGCTCCTAGTAGCTTCTTGTTCCTAGTGTATAGTAAGGCCAGGCTTGCTCCTAGTAGCGATGCCCTTTGCTCCTAGTAGCCTCTTGTTCCTAGTAGCTATGATATACAACACAAAAACTTCCCTCCTGGCGAATACTGTGCTCCAGCATTTTGAACTTCAGGGAAGTCTTATCTTCCGTGAAGAGCCCTTGGTTCACATGCACTCAGTCGCCCTGTGTTTGCGGCATGTGTTTGCGTTGCAAGCGCTTCATGGTTGCTGTTGCTGTTGCTGTTGCTTGGCTTTGCATGGCTTTTCTGGGTTTCCCGGCAATGCTCATGCTGATACTCTGGCGAGCCATCCAAGCGCCTGAGCGATAGTACCGAAACCATAGATTTCAACAAACGCCATGGCCGTAGTCTGCCACTGAGCACGTAGCAACTCAGAGACCGTTTCGACCGAGGCAAGCTCGTAGTCGCCGTGAGAAGTCCGAATTCCATCCAGCAAGTTTGCACTACTCTTGTCTTCTTCACAGTAGCATTGCGCAATGTAATTCATAACCAATCGTCTTTCAGCTTCATTATCACTGTCACACTTTGTGCAACAAAAAGAATGTAGAATCGCATGAAGAACTGGGACGGACGTGGCACGGCGCGTGCCAACCAAGCCATCTGGTGTACCTGCAAGCCACTGTTCGTTTTGCAAATATAGGCCGCTGTAATCCGCTATATAGAGAACATGAGCTGGTACACTATCAAACTTGGGATTGGGGATGAGTCTTTTATTGTATCTAATGCAGAAAGAACATGCAAAAAAGCCCGCTGAGGGCTAAACATAAAAGCAGCGGCTTTGCGTTCACTCCCTCGTGCTGCATCGAACGGATCCTCTCTCGCAGCTGTTGCCGTGGAACAGTAGAGTCACTTCCTCCAGCCATTTCGCTATTGAGCCAATCCCATACCTCCTTCGGCCCCTTCTCAGACTGAGGTGGGTCACTGCTCGGTCTATCCTCCTTGTGTCTCTCTATCTCAATTTGCAACACATTCTCATCTTCCACATCAAACATGCTGCAACCCTGCAAATTTCCAATCTCTTCTCGCAGCTTCCACCGGCGACGGCTGGTTGTGGTATCTGTGATGATGGCCATCTCGAAAATGCACCAGCTTCGTTCTAAAATGCTAGCATGTTTGTCGAGGAAAAGGGCTGTCGCTTCCGACTTGGAGAAAGCACTAAATGATGGAGAATTCAGCAAGTCAAACACTTGTGATGGGGAAGGCACTTCAAATGCAAACATGCCAATCCACATGTTGTCTCGGAGAGTGAGACCTTGGTCATCAGCCAAATGGTTCACATTGCCAATGAAGTCTCGGAACGCACAGTACTTGCTGAATGATACGAAGATTTTGGGGTCTTGTGGACCATAGGCGACAAGCTCAACCCAGCTCCAGGTCTGCTCAGCTGAGCATCGGTCTCCCACCTGGCTCTTGGAAATACCAGCAGCCAAATACTTGATGGCTGGTTTTAGAATCAAGTTGGCAGTCTCCCGCACGGAAATGTCTTCCCAGTGCAGCCATTCAGAGCCACCAAGTTGATCTGCACGTCGTAAGACCCCTGTTTTACATAGTCGTTGAACAAATGCAGAAAGTTCTTGTATTTGAAGCAGCGATATGCCACGCGATGCAGGGTCGGGGATAGTGGTTGGCAATTTACCAAGTGCCCATGGTGTAAGCTTGCCGTGCATGGCAGCATCAAGGAGCAAAAGTGTGACGTGTAGAAGAGCGTAATATGCTAAAAGCCTCTAGGCTGTGGCAGCCTGGGCCTACGCAAATTCCTGATGAATCAAATTCAAAATGACAAGTGAGTACTACTATATAATAAGTACTAGGAAAAACAGCTGTTTTAGCTGTTATGGTGTGTCTTCTTTCATTTCCAAGAATTGGGTCGGCCCCCACCGGCGGGGTGTTTGCTGTATCGGCCCTTACCCGGTATGCAGGTTTCGAGTGACTGCGTTAATTAGTCTTCTATCTCCCGGAGACTTTAGTACAGTAAGATTCTTTGCTGTTTCGAGCGGGGCACGGGTTGATAGAGTGTGAAGGCACAATTGTAGAACATCTGATCAGCCGTCAGCAGTTGTGGAATTGTCTGTAGCAGCTTACACTTAGAGCCAACGCTATTGATGTTTCTGAAGTGCACAATTGTGGCAACCAAACCACCATGTTTTCGTTTATGAAACATGCGTCATAGGCATTCTGAATTGCAACACAAGCAATGCACCTTTTCTGTCGGCATGATCCTTGGAAGCACTGCCATGGGCTGGTGACTGCTTACCCAAGGAATCCGACCTGTTCTATCCAACCTTCGTGCTATTTTCCTACTTTTTTTTGGTTCAATTTAGGCAGTTCGCCTGGTCTGGCAAGCTTTCACCAGTGGTGAATCGGAGCTGCGCGGGATGAATCTCGTCCGAGTCCAAACCATCTTTGCGTGGGCAAGCGGCAAGCCCTTCTCGTTTCCCCATCTCAATTCTCATTTCCACCAACAACTTTGTACAATCTTCATCCTGGGCAAGCAAAAGAAACACATGCTTTGTTGGGACATGGAATGAAGGGGTAGTTTGGCTCGTTCAGCCAGTCAGAGTCGATCTCAATGGAAGTCTCAGCCTCAGTTGGGCACAAAATATCGGGACTATGCAGTGTGGCATATGTCCCCGACAAGAGTTCAAAGAACTGAAAGTCCGCTAAAGCCCTCAGAACAGGACAATTTTGGATGCGGACCACTGCCAAGGAGGAAGATGTGGTTAGCGCTTACACAGAAGCTTTCCAAGGACCTTGATGGCAAAGTGCCAACCAAACTGAATTTGAGGCTTCGTGAGGCTTAAGATGTTCTAAAAGCAAACAGTGAATGGACATAAATATCTGCAGCAATGCATCAATGGGGTCACGGTTGTATTCGGAAACTAAACGGTTGTATTCGGAAACTTATATTCGAGTACTACAAAACGATATTCGGAAACTGGGACGGTGGTATTCGGAAACTGGGACGGTTGTATTCGGAAACTGGAGGGATCTCAGAAACTACGAAGAGCAGCGCCAAGACTATTAAAATATTTCCAGCAGAAACTACCTTTATATCTACCTATTATTCCCTCGTACCCCCCCCACCCCGTCCCACCCCACCCCAAAAAAATTACAGCATGCTTTCGGAACTTAGTTTCTGAATAAAACGAAATAGTTTCTGAATCCCCTAGTTTCTGAATACAACGAAATAGGTTCTGAAGACTAGTTTCTGAATACAGCGCAGTTTCTGAATACGACTTTGTTCCATCAATTGAGCCATGCAACACGAACAAAGCTGCTGAGATCCTAGCATGTCGGTCTTCAAATGCATTGCTGCAGATGTGGCTTCACCTCAAAGTGGCTGCAATTGCAAGTCTCTGGAATAGGAAGAAGACAAAGACCGCCACCATTGTCCATGTCCAGAAGCTCCAGGGTCTTGTCATCCGCATTCAGCACACCAAGATACCTGGAATGAGAAATGCACGAAAAGCATTGCCTTCTTGAGAAGTGATTGCATTATCTAAATAATGATAATGTACATTACTAATAAATAGTAATTAGTAATTAACTTATTACATGTTATAGCATTCTTGCTGTAGGTTGTCCATTGTTGTCCTAAATCATTTTCTCTGGGCACCTCTCTGTGAGCAAGCGCATGCTCTTGGGCCGTCCCCGAAGAGGGTCGACTTCCTCCCAGCAACAGCTCTTGGATCTTATGAGGCAACTTGCGCAATAAAGCAGCTCAAGAACAGGTGAGCTGAATTGCCCTTGGGCAAAGGAATTAAGACGGTCCAAATGAGGGTCAAACATGTGTTTCTTGCTTTCATCAGTGCACATATGTCAAAAGGTGCGTGCACAAGTGCATCCTTCTCTTCGAGAACATCAACAGGCACCAAGTCATCTCCTGGTCAATGTGAGCTACTTTAAGAGCGCATTTCAAAGCAGCAGCGCGACTTCAACAATGAAAAGCGGAAAGCTCTATAGGCACATCTAATTCAACTCTTGAGCCACATGGCAGTCTCATTTGAACTGTTTCGTCTGTCACGCTGACATTGGGCGCGGTCATCTCCTTTGGCCCCACGCTGTAGTCGTGCTGCTCGTCGCTTAGATGTACCAACCTGGCAAAGCTGCGAGGTGTGCCTTGGGGATGGGTCCAAGGCACCTCTATGGGTTCAACTTGACAGGGCGATGCACATTCTGCTCAATGCTCATGTGAGTCATGGGGGTTTAGTGTCGCATTATTTTTCCCTTATTCTCCTAACCTGTTGTTTCTTAAGTTCTTGGCTTCTTGTGGTTTTCATCAGAATGCCACTAAACATGTACAAGTACAAGTGCCAAACATGACGGGAGCGCAGATGCACAACTAGGGCCCAACAAATCAGAACCTATTGACTCACAAGCTGCTGAGAAGGATGCAATGATATTCAACAAAAGCTTGAATTTAGCTGTTCTGCTCGATCTTCATCTGGTTTATTCTCATTCAATATGTTCAATGCGTCCTTCCATAATTTACTGTATCCATCTTGTCTCAAAATGTGATAGCTTGAGCGGGCCACTCTTTGAGCTGAAGCAGGCAGGATCCATCATCACGAAGAGTGCCTCTGCAGCAAACGGAAATCCGGACAAAGTATGACTAATGAATAGCTAGTGTGGATGCATGAAAATGTCCAAATCATGTCAAATGATGTGCAAGGAAGCACGGAGATGCTTTCTGCAATCCACAAGCCATGAAATTCAGCATTCAAGGCAGTTAAAACTTAAAACCAATTAAAGGTTGGTTATGCCCAGTACACTGTGGCAAGTGCCTTCTCAGGATCTGCTGATTGCCTTAGATTCAGAATTTGACTTGTCATTTAATCTCACCCCGATTGCTATAACGACTACTATAAGGATTATAAGGTTGCTTCTGATTCTGCATCACACCAAGGTGCACTTTAGAAAGGAAGTGTTTTGTGTCCGGGGGCCCTTTCTTTCCCACCAGGCCCCAAGCGGTCCATCTAGCCAGGCAGTCGAAACAGACAGGCTGGAGCCGCCTGCGACGATGGATGTCGACAAATCCGACAATCACACGGCGTGTTCAGCTCAAATGTTGCAATGGTGACATGGCATGACTCTTGGCTGTATTCTAAAGCTACTAGTAACAAGTGCATCGCTACTAGGAGCCAGGGCCTTACTAGTAGTAACAAGAAGCTATTTGTTCGTAGTAGCTACTTGCTCCTAGTAGTAAGGCCAGGAGCCCCTAGTAGCGATGCCCTTGCTCCTAGTAGCGATGCCAGGAGCCCCTAGTCTCACGGCCTCCATTTTCCACGTGGCAAGATGCCACACGTCGGCCTTGCTGATGAAGCACCAGCGCCTGAAGAGCCGTCACCAGCCCGAACCTCAAACACACCTCCACATCAAGAGACGACTCACGCAGAAAATACAGCAGGCCGGTGTGAAGAAGGTGGAGGTGGAGGTGGAGGAGGTAGGAGTAGGAGTAGAAGTAGTAGGAGGGGTAGGAGTACAGTAGGAGTAAGAAGGCAAAAAGCACATCAGACAGGCTGCAAAAGCGGCAAGAGCAAAAAAGCGACAGAAGCGAACCACCAGAAAGAGCTCAAGAAAATTGCAGAACCAGCATCAGCAACAAAACCAAAAATGCACAGCAGCACAGTGGCAAAACATTTGGAATGAAAGACAAACACATCAAACAAGCAAAACCACCAAAAAAAGCATCACTAAGTGCCTCAACAAGGAAAGGGCACAAGAACGCATCAAGCACACCAAGCGCCACAATATCCCACAATCAAACGCTGACGAGTCCTGCACACAGTCTCTTCCATGAGAGTTGGATAAACTCGGGATGAGAGTGGAGCAGTTGAAGGAGATAAATGTTAAAAGTTTCAGGAAATCCTAACACCAACTTAAGTTTTGGCAGCAAAGCACCACGCTCAATTTTCGGATTTGCTGGTGCATGTTCCCACATGATTTAATTTATTACTAATTATATACTGTTTTGCTCGATCTCTAGGCGTCAATCTCCACACCAGCAAAACTTCTCTGGCAAACACACCTCGCAACTGGCCGTGGTGTTCTCGAAGCATGTCAAAGCAGTATCCTGCGTTGACGTGTGCCGAACACGGCTACTGATAGTTCTACAAAGAATTCCTGTCTTACGTCGACGACAAACTGAAATGTGTGGACGGCGGGATGAACATTGCATATCATTACGAGCTCTATCTCTCAGTTTCTTGAGTATAAATCAGAACTGTCGGCCTGCAGTCTTTCGCCCAAGAGGGCAGTACAAGGCGCAGCCTGTCAGAGGCTTGCAGAAATGCAGATGCATGTCTTGTTTGGGAGCATGCTCAAAAATTCTGGTGTACCCATGATGGATGTCCAATCGTCTTGTTTCCGGTGAATCATGCCCTTCTCACAAGGCCTCTTGTAAAGAAAACCAACGCAATCTTACCATGCATAATTACCCACACTGCTAGCTGCTGCAAGCAGTCCTGAATGAAGTCGGCACTGAGCGAATTGTCCTGGTGAAAGTGGCGAAGCCTGAAGCAACAGCAAAAAGCATCTGAGGATGCAAGGCATAGTTGAGGTATGCACAAAGCAGTATATGCGCAAAGCAGTATCACAAAATGTTCACAAAGTGTGGAAGAGACAAAGTTGCCGAACACTGCCGAGCCGCTTGAAAGGTTCGGATTTGTTTGGGATATGTTTCAGGTTTGGATGTGTCTTTGGACTTACTGATGGGCGTGGCAAGATCCTGCAGTGTTTTGCAAAGCTTTGGCATGAGAACCTCTCATCTCCGTTGCTGTGAACACGAAGCTGTAATTTCCTATGTTAGCAAGCAGCTATAGGCAAAGCCACTAAGAATAATCCTGAGAAAGTTGTGTAGCTTGTTGTTGTGTTGCACACTGCCAGGCTTAACATGAAAAAGGAAGGCCCCTTAAAGTTTGAATTTTGGGCAGGCAGTGAGTGGGGGATACAGTGCATATTTCCGCGCTGAGGGCAGTAACGGGAAGGGTGCAGCGCCTCCCTCCAAAAGCATTATGCGCTTTCTTGCGTCCCTTTTCTCTGCCTTTTTCTCTTCCCTTCCCTTCCGTTGCGTTGCGTGTCCTGTCCTGTCCTTTCCTTTTCTTTCCTTGCTTTCTTGTTTCTGTCTTGAATCCTTTCTTCCTTTTTTCTTGTTTCTTTTGCGTGTGTTGCTTTGCTCCCTCTTCCTTCCTTCCTGGCTGGCTGGCTGGTTTGCTGGCGTGCTGGCTTGCTAGCTTCCTGGCTTCCTTGTCCTTATGCTTCCTTATGCTTGCTTATTGTACCTGTGCTTCCTTGTGCCTCCTTATACTGCCTTGCTTGGTGCCTTGCTTCCTTGCTTCCTTCGTCGCTCACATTCTTTCTTGCTGTTTTCCTTTGCTTTCCTTAGGTTCTTCCTTGCTCTTGTATTGCAGAAAAAGCAAGCAACAACAACAACAACAACAACCACCACCACCACCACGACAACCACAACGACAGCAACCACAGCCACAGCAACCACAGCAACCACAGCCACAGCAACCACGGCAACCACAACCACAGCAACTACAACCACCACAACCACAGCAACCACCACCACCACCACCACCACAACCACCACCACCACCACCACAACCACCACCACCACCACCACCACCACAAACCACCACCACCCAACCCCCAAACCACAACAACCACAACAACCACAACAACCATAAATCACAACCAACCACAACCACAACAATCACAGGAACCACAAAAACCACAACCACACAACCGCAACCACAACCACAACAACCACGACAACCACAACAACTACAACCCACAACCACAACAACCACAAACCACAGGCAACCACAACCACAACGACGACCATGACAACAATCATAGCAAGAACAAGGAAACAAGCAGAGAAGCAAAGCAAGGAAAAAAGCAGGACAACTGGGACAACGCCACAAAAACCACAGAGGCTGAAAAGCAGACAAGCGGACAAGCACAGAAGCTGAGGATAGAGAAACAGAAACAAAAGGAAAGCAGAAAAGCAATTCCAAAAAGGTCCCAAATCCATAAATAGACATATCGCAAAACGATGCCGCTGCCTTCCTACTGCAAACAACATATACACGGCATGTTCAATTTATCCCGATATATAATATAGTGACAAACAAGCTCCGCCTCATTGTACTGTCTTTGCTTTGAGGCAGCTGTGTTGCCTGGCATCCGTAACAGTATCTGGCAGTGGAAAAGTTTCCAAAAATTGAAGCACCCAGCCTTCTCGTGCACCGCTGCAACGAAAGTTGACAAGCCATCAGTCACCTACAAAAGCTGACGTTGCGGGACCTTGAATTTGTGCTCCGTCAATTCAAGAGATGTACAATGGGAAAGGATTCAGAAATTATGTCCAAGGAAATTTCACAGCATCCCTGTGTATCAGAATTACAAAGGACATCATACTGGGACATGTGACCAGCAAGTGGTGGCCGCGAGCATCGCAAGACAAGCCGGTCGGCCTTGGTTTTTCTTGACAGCCAGTAATGCAGAAATGCATTGAGCGAGAAAAAGGCTTGGCTCCTCACCTGATTCCAGGGTACGGCCATGTAGTGTGAACAGGCTCAAACTTGGCAGTCTTCACCGAAGTGCCTATGCAGCTGCAGGTGTGAGCTGCATTGAGAAGCTGTGTCCAACTGTTTTAGGAAACACCTTGCCGGTCCTCTCTCAGGCGAGGACGTAAAGCCAACAGTGAAGACCGACGTTCACCTTGAGATCCTGAAAGCTGAAGTCTTGGAGAACTAACAAGCAAGCAAGCAATGTCCACATTAACAGTAACCATGCCTGCAGACTTCCCACCATTCAATTAAAATCAACATCAAGTAACAAACAGACACAGATGTTGTCAGAGTATCTTGGCTGAAACTCAGGCCTGGTTCATGGAGAGGAGCAAGACCTACAAGTTCGGACCTTGCAGGCGTCTTTCTTGACACTCTAGCGTCCTTGCTCCTAGTAGCAATGCCCTTTGCTCCTAGTAGAGTAGCGTTCCTAGTAGTAAGGCCAGGAGCTACTAGTAGCGTCCTTGCTCCTAGTAGCTGCAGACTTTGTTTAGAAAGAGGCCTTTAGCCCTGGAATGTGCCAATATTGAAAATAAGTCACACTTTGGGCACACCTGACACCTGTCTTTTTGCAATGGATTTACTTGCCCGTCTCAGTATCCGGGATTGTCAAAGCACACGACCTTGCAGCACAAACTGGTGCCCAAAGAAGGTGCTGTCAAGCAGCTGTGGCTTGTGCTTCTCTGCAATCTCGTCCTTGCAATTTGCTGGAGGGGTTGACTTCCGAAGCTCATAGCAGAATTTCAGGCGAGAAGAGAATCGAGGATCCAAGCAAAACTATGTTGACTCCCATGCTTATTGGACATCACAAAGGAAGCTAGTCAGTACATGCATGGAAGCAGTAGAGTCAGTGGAGCGAGACTTCCTGGAACTTTACTGAAACATGTTTCTTTTGTACATGTTTCAACTCTCAGCCTCGAAGGCCAATCCAAGGTCAATAAGCTCAGGGATGGCAACAGTCATGAACGACCACACCTCTGTCAATCGCTCGGGCACCTTCTCTAGAAAGCTGTCCAAGTGATATGGTTCTTGAACTGGGACGTTCAATTCTTAGGACTCTTGGACTTGGTGCAGCGCCCCTGCAAGCATCCAAAAGATGCATGTTGCCAATGACATGTTGCGGAAGATCCTGCTGGCAGTGCGTACAATCGTGAAGAAAATGAACTGAAGACTTATGTATATACTATGTTTCCCTAAAAATCTAGGAATCAAATGAATAGTGTGTGAGCTATCCTGCATCTATGCTACTATCCTCTTCACAGCCTACCCCCAAAAAACAGAAACACACACATAAACCAACAATATCGAATGAAGAAAAACAAGGCATCAGTCTGGATCCACCAGCCTCCAAGGAGCTGCACCAGATGCCTCTCGTTCGTGACCAGTTTCAACATCGTCATCTTTGGCCTCTCGACAAACACAGAAAAAAAACTAGACTCTATGTTTAAAGGGGGTAGGCCATAGAGGAAGGTAGTAGCTAGAGGTAGCTAGTAGCTAAAGTAGCTACTACTACTTAGGATGCAGGATAGCTCATGCTTCTTCAAGGAAGCTCCCCCGTAGACTCAAAATGCAATCATTCCCGCCTCGGGAGCTATTAGCCTAAAGAAGCCTGTCGCTTCTGAAAGTGAGGGGGACAGCCCAAACTTTGAAAGGTCTTCTTTGTCTTCCTGTTCCTGCACAGCTGTACACAAGTCTGGTAACGCCAGATGAGCACCACAATGAACATCGTGAACCAATTGACCACTCTCCTTCAGCAGATCATCTACCTTTTCTCTCTCCCGACCTTGCAAGAGAGTCTACGAAAACAAAGGGGCCAGAGGAGCGTATGGCTGGGGCTGCCGACTCCCGGGTGGCATGAAGGTCACCGGATCCCAAAAGTCCTGAACAAAGGACGCTATTAGGAACAAAGGGCATCGCTACTAGGAGCAAGGGCATCGCTACTAGGGGCTCCTGGCCTTACTACTAGGAGCAAGAACGCTACTAGTCTCCATTATCGCAACTCGTTTCTTGTGTCTCAATACCAAAGAACCTGCATCTGCTCTCTGAACGTCTTTGTTGGCACAAGTCAAGCTGTTGTGTCCAAATATCAAACAATAATCCACGACTTTTTAGGCATTTGGGCTACTACACACACGGGCAAGGAAGTGCGGAATCCGTTGAAGCCCGCAAATCACTTTACCAGCTGCCATGAGAGCAAGCCGCAAATACTCCCCACCAAGGGAAGGACACTTGAAGGATAGATTCCAATATGATCAAAGTAATGCAAGCAATCTGCTGATAGAATTCCGAAGTGCCTTCCCTTGAGGTCGATTTGTACATCGCAACAGAACAGACTCTCAGATTTCAACCAAGAGCACCTTCTCTTGGTGTGCCTGACACACTGACTCCAAGAGATATCTAGCATATCAATCTTGGTTTAGCACATCTTGTGATGTTGTCGTGTCTTGCGACGTTGCCCATTGCGTTTGGGCACAGATGCTTATCTGCCTTGTGGTCTTGGAGGTCTGCCAAGGTCTCTACACGTAGCTGCCCTGCAAACAAACATCTAACATCTACTGTGCTTGCAAAGCCAAACAATTCACGCATGGATCAAGCCAATGAAGCAATGATGAAAAGCAGTTCCAAACAAAGTTTAAAGGGATGGATGATGTTTTACATTGTTTTACATGACATGTGCATCGTGGCGGCACCTGATGGTATGCAAGCCCAAGCCTCCTGAGAACTTTGATATTGAAAGAGTGTCCAAAGGTGGACAAAATCAATTTCGTTTGGAGGTATGCGCCTGTTGGAGGCGAGCATGGCTCAGAGCGAATGTGGTTGGAGTTTCGCCTGCTGTGACATCGACAAGCCAGGCAGGCCCGAAACCACCCTAGTAGCTTCTTGTTACTAGTAGCAATGGCCTCCACCCTAATGGCAATGGCCTCCACCCTAATTAGTAGCTTCTTATTACTAGCAATATGTAGCAATGGCCTCCACCCTAATAGCGATGGCCTCCACCTGGTAGCTTCTTGTTACTAGCAAAGACTGTGGTAGCTTGGACCTAGTGCCCTTTAAAAGCTCCTTGTTAAAAAGGCATTCTTGCTTGCAGCCATGAGAGGTACAGTTGAGTCCGACACCTGAACATCCTAACACATTGTAGCTAAGCGAAACCACTTACAAATATATTACAAGGGCCTTTGTTAAAGCCCAGCACCAGCAAGGGGTGGTTGTGACATAGAAACATGGCCTCACTCTTTGCCGCATTTGGTCTTGCGCTACTGGAGGTACCTGACATGTCAAGCTACCATGACGACACTTCATCAAGCTACTACTGCTAGACACCGCAATGAACAACTATACCTTGCTACATCTTGGCCTCAGCACTCGATGCACGGACGCCATCCTGACAAACCACACAGGTTGAAACCAACCAAGCAACTAACTCTCTTTAATGTCACCGCCTACGCAACTGCATGACATGGACACATTTGACAAATCTGTATATCGTCTGTCTCATTGTGTAAGCCTCTATTAAAGTGGAGCAAAGCATGCCACTACTATCAGGGCAGTGCCTCATCGTTCTGAGGCTGTTGACGTGGTGATGCAAATCGCCTCAATGGAGACTGATTAGCTGTGAAAAAAAAGGCGTTTTGTCATGTTCCGTCCCACCTGAAGATTGCGTTTGGAGAATCCCCTTTCTGTCGCTGAATTTGTCTGCCCCCGAGGCATCACTGAACAGAAAGGTGCCTCACCTCATTGCTCCAGACAGCGCCGCAACTCCAGAGAGACGCACCTGAGTTCGGGAGATCAGCAAGAAGAAATCTATATAGGTCAATGAGAAACCTTGTTTAATGAGATTGAAATACTAAACAACAATAATCTTGACTAACAATTTGCAACTAAAGCAGATGAGCACTGTCCTCTTGAAATCATCTACACCCAAGTATGTACCAGTATATAATAGTATATATATAATATATATTATCGACGTGTTGCGGCTATCAGGCATCAGGTTTTGCAAATGATATCAAAGCCTTGGTCTGCCGCACCTCAGGCAACAATGGGGCACTGTTTCCATGGTCAGGTTCTGTGCCGTCGGCTCCTGCAAAGGAGTCTGAAGACTTCAAGTTCAAACTTTGACAACATGCTAGTGCCTGGAAAAGGTCTCCTTTGTCGTCAGGGCTGGCCTTCGGTGGTCTGGGAAGGCTGCTGCTCCGGCCTAGCATGGTGTGCTGCCGGTTGATTTGTGTATTTGGGCCATGCTGCATGTGGTAGGACAATCGTGCAAATCAGGTTATGGATGAGTGAGCACAAACTCACCGCAGCATGCACGTGCTATATATTTAAATGGAAAGTACAACATGTTCAACTGGGCTCTCTTTGCTATCCATGTCTGGACTGTGGGACTTTGTTGAAGAAATGTCGGCCACCCCACACCCATCGCCTTGGCCAGAGGAAGCCTGCAGAAAGTCAGAACTCAGCTTTTCAGGTGGCTATTGCGTAGAAAGAGTCGAACTGAGTCAAAGTTTGTCCAAAAGTCATGTAGAGCAAGATGCTGAATCTTTTCACCTCAGTTCCACCATGTGAAGTGGCCTTCGCAGGTGGTGCAGGGCTATTGCCTCTGGAATTGAGGCGTGGTGGGCGACCCTCCGCAAACCTCAGCTCCGATAGCACTATGCTGCAGGTTTCTCTCGAGCGCATGCTGTGTGAAGCAAGTACCGCCAAGAATGTGGCTTGACAACAGTGCTCATGTTAGTGTGGTGTGGTCAGCTACAACATGCTACAACAAGTAAAGGAGAAACGTGGCATTTAGCAAAACGGCATCAGTCTGGCAACCTGACCTTGACTGGGGAGTTGCTGCTCGTATTGCGTAATCTACGAGTACATCTGCAAAGTGCTGTTGATCGTGGTCAAACAAAACACTGGCATGAATTTGGAGGCATGCGGCATGGCAGTGACTCTGAAGTGTGTTGGAGCCATATATATATATTATATAATATGTATATTGCACCTAACACCCCGCCTTGCTAAACTTGAGAGAGGAGGGGGTGAACGAAAGCCTGGAAACACTGGCATTAATGGTATTCACGGTGTTACTTTGAAGCGTACATAGCTTGAAACCATCCCAATATACAGGGTTTTGTGGCAGGAAGGTGCAGAAGCCCGTGTAAGTACCGTCGCTTTGTGCCACTTTGATGCCTCTAAGCACCGCAAAAGCCCTTTCTGCCACAAAAAACCCTGCAAGTAGCGTGGTTTGAGGCCACTCTTGAAGATAGGAGGAGCTGAAAACACATGAAAACACTAGTATCTACGGTGTTTTGTGGCCACTTTGAAGCGTACACAGCCCAAAACCATCGCAATTTACAGGGTTTTGTGCCGGGAAGGCGCACAAACCCGTGTAAATACCGTCGTTTTGTGCCATTTAGAAGCCTCCAAACGCCGAAAAAGCCCTTTCCGACAAAATCGTTCCAGGTTTTTGGCCATGTTTCGACCATTTTTGAAGCCTAGACACTTCAAAAACCATCGGTTTTTACGAGGTTTTTGGCCGGACAGGCACAGAAAACCATGTCAATTGCGTGGTTTGAGGCCAACAATGACTCTTGCAGACTGGAGGAGCTGAAGACACTGCTATTTACAGTGTTTTGTAGCTGTTGACAAAGACCCGCGCCAGGGTGGAGTTGAAAGTGGGGAGGGGGGCCCCCCCCCTCTCGGCCCTTAAAAGTAAATTTCGGAGGCGATTTCTCAGTGAGATGGGTGTCCACTCTGGTTATAATTCATTTTTGCTAAAGCAAAAGGAAAACTCAGGTAGCGTAACCGCTACCTTTCGTGATAAAAACACGTTCATTCGAACACTGCAGGCTGGATCTGCCTGGGTTCACCCACCAGCCTACGGTATCATGTTGCTTCAGCGTAAATGTGTGTGCCCTGTCTGTGCCCAAACCTCCCTTCGCCTTTTCCTAGATCCGTGCAGTGCACGATTTGATAGAAGCACATTTACATGGCGGCAGCCAAGCACGGTGTGGGGTACACTTGCTCAAAAACAGAAAATCGCATTAGGGCATTAATAAGTGCCGCAAACAGCCCCTCTTTACTTCAGTGTCTGTGGGATTAGGTTGCTCGCGCTCGATACTGAGGTCCAGGCATTGTTTGCGCAGGGACCCTCATTGATGGCATGTGCTTTGGGCGTAGTTCCAAAACAGCCTCCCCCAAGCCCCCAGTGACGGGCAGGAAATCTAATATAAGGTTCTCATTGAACAGTACCAGCTTGCTGTGGTGGGGAAAGTCATGATGAGCTATGGCACAACGGGCATGGCCTCGCATGCTGATGAAAACATCACCCGAGAATAGGCCTCGAAGACAACAGAGCCCAAGCAAAGATCAGAAAAGACTCAATCTCAATGGTGAAACCAATGCAAAAGGAACATGTATATAATTTGATGGCATGTGCAATGATTGTCTTCATCATCAATTTCTTGGCAAGTCAAGAAGAATGCCTCAAATGTTTGCAACCAACTTCGTCTCGCTGGCTTCTGCTCCTGGAGGTCCTGCACTTGAAGGGATATGTGCAGCCGCAAGTTGCTGAATGTGTGCGTGAAGGAATCTGCAAATAGAAGGAAATGGGGATCTGTCGGCATAACCCAATTTGCACATAGCCTCCAGCTCACGCTGAAAGGCATCCAGCAGCACCTGCAAGAGTCAATCCTCCCACACAGGAGCCGACTTCAGGGATGATCAAAGTAAGTCTTCCTCTTGATGTCCCTCCCTCATTAACTCCAATACATCGGATAATTTTCAGGATCCCAGGATCCCGCGACACCGGAAAAGGCATCGGAATGTCTTTGTCAAACACAGGGCGAAGGGCCGGCCTGGCCAGCAAGCGGCAGCCGCCAAGCAAGATCCTGCTCGTGATTTGGGATCCCAACAAAATGCTGCCCGCGAGAAATTGCGTCCGAGTGTTCAAAAGCTTAAGATATTCTGAGTCAGCAATCCCGACAAGTTAAGGCAGTGGCACAGGTGAAAGCCACTGTTGATCTGCACATGCTTTCCTTGTTCGAAATGGATTCTTTGAAGGAAACAATCATGTTGATGCCCACGCTGAGATGTAGACACATGCACTCTTGGCCCGCTTCAACTCCCACGCCCAACCTTGACTCCTAACACAAATTAAATTTAGTGTTGCATTGTTGGTTCACAGAAAACCATGTCCTTCAAAACACACCATGAATCACCATGACATGTCGTGGAATTGTGTCAATTGGCGCCGTCCTATCGCGAAGGGCTTGGGATATCTTGCTGATCTCCGGCTGGACTCGCTGAAGTGCCTCTCGGGCCTGGCGGGACAGTGACCCGAATAGTCATAGTCGAGCGTAGTTGAGTATCTTGGCCAAGTGACCGTCACACAAGGTGTCACACAAGGTGTTCCACGTTTGCAGTTTAGATCAAGGAACTGGGGCGACACCTCCATCGCCTTTCCATCTACTCTCTCTTCACTGCCGAAGCATTCGTTCAAAATTCATCAAAATTCCGGATGGCCTCGGCCACCTCTCGCTCTGCCAACCGCTCTGCCCGCGTCAGCAACTCTGCCAGCCTTGCCAGGCTAAAGTCACAGACTAAATCAAAACTAATGCAGCATGAAGCACTGCAAATTCCACTATGTTACAATCCCATCCTTGCAGCTGCCTCCAGCTTGACCAGCTCAGCCTCTGCAAACATGTCACCCAAGTGCTAATTCGTCATCTCTGCTACACCCCGGAACTAGACCGAAAATGGTTAGTTTATCTAATTTCCAATAGACGTGGTTGGCATGAGAAGGTTCCAATGCTTCGCCAACTCACTCAACCCTAGATTGAAATAATTACCGGCTGTTCCAAAAATTACGCCAGCATAGACCCCAGCACCAGCAGCACACTGCAGAGCGGCACACTGCAGCGGCACCCCAGCGGCTCCAGCACCCAAGCGCACACAGCAGCGGCACATAGCGGCACCCTGCAGCGGCACCAGCGCCCAAGCTCCCAAGGGCACAGCAGCAGCACGGCACCACCACCCAAGCTCCAAAGCGCACAGCAGCGGTACCTGCAACGGCACCAGCACCCAAGCCCCAAGCGCACCCTGCCGCGGTAGCAGCAGCCCACACAGCAGCGGCACCCTGCAGTGGCGCCATGCACGCAGCGGCACCCTGCAGCGGCACCAGCACCCAGGCTCGAAAACGCACACACGCAGCTGGTCCTGTACTTGAAGTAGGAACCCCAATAGCTCACGCTATCTGGGAAATGAGAAAAGACTACGACTGCAAGTCTAGCGGCATACTAGAAAGCCATCCTCTAAGTCCGAGGGAAAGTGATTCACACATGTTCTGATTCTGTACCCCATTCGCTGAAGACCTTGTATTCTGCTTGACGCGGTCCCTGTGTTGAAAGTGTACCTATGTCTCTGTGTATGATGTGATGTGTATATACAAATCTCTTTACAGTCCCAAAGCACTTACGCACACAGGTTGTAGCTCACGAGGGCATGCAAGCCCTTACTGACTTAGCAGCACAGAAAGGCACTTTGATGTAACCACGCCTTCCCACTAAGTTCTGCTAGCTCGGAGCCGCCTTTGACAGTGTCAACCCAACGAAAACACAAACGAAGGAATGTGGATTCTGGCTGGTGGAAGAGTTGTAACAGTGATTCTCAGCATAATTGGTAGGCCTGCAGCTTGAAGCAGCTCCATCCTTAGGCATTGTGGAGAACAAATTTGTAAAGCCACTGTCTTTTCTTGTCTTGTCACTGTTTGTATGGCGTCTGGATTGTTCAATCGAACGCAGGTAGGCTAAGACCTGCATGCCGTAGGAAGAGTGTCGGGAATGCTAATAGTACAACAAGCGTCGTTGGAAGGCCAGCCTCAGCTCAACAGCATGTACTTTCCGCATCTGAAATAACAAACAACTAACAACTCAATGACTATGACCTTTTTGCTAAAAACAAAGGTGGCGAAACAGTACAAGACTTGCATTAAGAGAATCGCCTGCACCAGGGGCATGCCATCACCTTATCTGGTCGTAGCGAGTGAAACGTGTAGATTATTTGTGGCAGAAGCTCTCGAAATCTCTGCCGCTTCGTCACCGGAGGTGGAACCAATAACCTGAATCAGGTTCAATTTTACAAAGAATGGTGACACCAATCCGTTCGCTGTCCTTGCCTCCGGCGACTCCACAGCAGCCGCCATAAGGAAGCAGGTGCGCACCAAGCCCTTTCCAAGCCGACCCATGGTTCCTGGCAGAGTTCGGTGAATTCATGCGGTTTTAGGTGAATGTTCCTGAACGAATCCAGTGATGTGCAGGAATCTTGGGAGTCTTTGCACAAGTGTGCTCAAATTGAAGGCCAGGCCACCAAGCACGGACAAAGCAGTTGGACCCAATGGCACTTGTCTTACGAGACGAGTGGTGAGGGACACCTTGTTCAAGGTAAGCAAGGTGCAAAGAATCCATGTTCTCCTTCATAGATTCTAAACACATTTGTAGCATTTTGTAGCTAGACAGGTATGTAGACTCTGTCACTCCAAATATTCTATTGCCGTATCTTCTGTTCAAATCCCAGCTACGGTAACTGTGCTGTGGCCATTTCGCCAAGGCACCGGTCCCTGTAACAAACGATCGCAATGACCAACTAGGATCACCTCAGAGAGTTTACAGGGAATGATGTTAATGAATGAGTATGATTCTTTGATATGATTTGTATGAGAGTAAAATAAGCACAACAGTTGAGGACTGGTGGAGCAGGCCAAGCTAAGAGCACCACGGTGGTCGAACGGGCAGCTTCAGCTCTAGCAAGCATGAAGCGCACCACAGCAGTATCACTTCCTGGCACCACTCGTCTGGCTACTTGCAGTGCTGCAGAGCGGCCTCACAAAGTAAAACGTAAAGTGCGACCAGAACATGGCCTCACAGAGTGACAAACTTGCTTTAAAAGCTCCTGGAGCATCCTTTTGAACAACTCTCGAGGGTTGTAATTATTGCTCTCTGCTTGCATTCTGCTTGGTTTTCTAGTCTGGAGTGAGGCATTTGGAGACTGGTGGACAAACCTGCATCAGCAGCCCGCAGCCCGAGAGAAACTCCAGCACTGGCCACACGGATTTCAAGAGATACCACGGTCACAGCAGCATTCACCTAAGTTGTTCTCAATTGACCGTCAATTCCTTTCAGCACCTTGGGACTCTGCCCTTTGTTCCTAGTAGCGTCCTTGCTCCTAGTAGCGATGCCAGGAGCCCCTAGTAGCGTCCTTGCTCCTAGTAGTAAGGCCAAGAGCCCCTAGTAGCGTCAACAATATATAGTATAATTACATATAATTCCATAAGTTCTCTACCGCCTTTCCAGTTGCTCGCAGCCACATGCCTGAACGACAATGCCAGGTTAGAGCTCTTTGAATCATTTCAACCATCTGAATTCAACCTGCATTCTGACATTCAAGCCACAGTTGCCTCTGCCACTGCATATTGTTTGAAAGTTCATCTGCCAAACTCCTGCTTCAGTTGGAGAGTAACTGAGGCAGCTGCTGCCAGCAAACAGTGCAGCACGTCCACCAGGTAACCGTCGTATCACTGCTCGCAGGTCCTAGAGGTCACACTGGGCGAGTACTGAAACAGCAAAAAGTGCTTACCCCACGTGATCGCTCCTCAACCGGATCCGAATCAATAGCCTTTCGTGGAAGAAGGCAAGTGTCAAACTTCAAAATACTTGCGATGGGCGCTACTTCCACGCTCTTGCTCCATCATACAAATGCTAAAACCAACTCATACTCTGGCCTTCAATGGTCTATAATCTGATGGTTCTGGATCCTTGATGCCATCCCTTGGTCACAACAAAGCAACAAATTCAGTGTGCCGTTCCGTTGCTGGGCACTGAAAGCTTCAATCTTTTGCACCCCACGTGTTGACGAAGTTCTTCTCAATAAGGTGCGGGCGAGACTGGTGACAGTTCGTGCAGCTCTTGCAATGGAGGCAATGGCTCAGTCGGGGAGTCCTGCAACGTATGTCGGGCCACCACGGCAAACCGTCGACCATGGCGGCGAGGAGTCGAACTGAAGCGCACATCCCGTCGACGTCGGTGGAGAATCCTTCGCCTCTAGAGCTTCATGCGGTCGGACGGTTCCTGGCCTATCAGCGAAACGCTGATCCAGAGCTCCAGAACAAGCAAATTCCCACGATATTATCAAACTTGGAAACGCGCTGGGCATGTGCTGGGCCGTGGGCGGTTTGGGTCTCAGAATTGGCTTGTGTCTTTTCAGTGTGCCCAGTCCTTGGCACAAAGTGTCCGGCAGTGATCACAATTGACCATCAACAAATGGCACTGTGATTCACATTAGGAGTCCACGCTGGTGTAGCCTGTAGGTGTGCTGTGTGTCAACAACTTGTTGATCTGCGGGTGCAACAGGAAAAAGAAGGGAAACATGCCAAGTCCTTAGCCCCAAAAAATGTTGGAACAGATTCAGCGCAAAAACACTTTCAGCATCCGCTGCTGCCAAATTTATGCGAGGTTATCCACATCCTAAGTTTTAGGCCGAAGATGGTCCGAGCCCAGAAAAAGTTTTCTGCAACCCGCCAGTGCCACAAATGCCACATCGCTTCTTGACCTTGATCTGGCAGGAGCCAGTTAGCAGCTATATAGCGAGTTTCACAGCAATCAATGAAAGACTGTCAAGGCCGCTGCCGTCATCCCATGAAAGAGCCACGGTGTCTCGCACAGACCTTGGCAAGAAAGTTCAAGAATTGACATGTTCAAAGAATTGGGAATCCAAGCTTCGCACAGAACAAGGAAAATGCTGAGACTGAAGGCAAAGACAAGCAGGTTATACCTCTCAGCCATAGCCAGGAGAGCTTGAAACCCGCATAGTTATATAATGTTATATAGCCACATCGGACTCAGTGGGAAGTGCTCAGAGCATTGCTGTAGCAAGGCGTTCATGCGACCCCCTCGGTGAGTGTCCTGAGGGACAAAGTACTGGACTGGAGGGTGTGGAGGCCGGTCCACATATGTTCTAATTGAAAGTTCACATATGAACTATCATACGAACGAAACTATTCGTAAGACCTTGATTCCAGGACGTTACCCCCCGTTCTCAACCAGAATACATGTCTCTTCAAAGAAAGTCAATCAAGAGCTGAAAGAAGTCTCACTCTCCTCGCTCTGCGTCTCTCTCTCCAAACCTGATCTTGAAGTCCATAGTCGAGGAGATATAAGTGATCAAAACACCGAAGGATTACCAAAGGTACCAAATCTGTAGCTCCATCTACATCTACTGAATTCGAGTCTTCAGCTGGAAGGATCCATGGTTCCTTTCAAACGCGCCTGTTGCAGAACTGCGGTTGAGATAAGGCAGGCTCCGAGGCAACAAGAGGAAACACACCTCAAACGGCTCAAGAGCACAATCGCAACATCTCAATGAGACAAACGCAAAAGCTGAGCAATGCACTGCCCAGACAAGCACCTGTCCGAGCACGCGTACCAATCTCAACTGTGGGAAAAAAAGCATGCCCGACTACCTTTCCCAACAAAAGAATGTACGAAACTCTGTCTCAAGGATCTATATTTGACCTGGACTCACAATGCACTTGTCTAGCCTTTACGTTTGACCTTGCAGCAAAGGAAGGAACGCGCCTCCTGGTAGAGGTCCACAATCACATAAGCACTACTCACGCCAGTTCCTGGGGCACCTCCTGCAGAGCATGTGCCACGCCTGGCCTCGGAATGCAGAATAGATGAATGAACTTGATTCAAAGAGACTCAGCACGTATTTGCAACATCTCAGTACACTTTCTCAAAATCATACTCTGAGGTGTTGGCGCAAAGGTAGTAGATGAGAATTCCATAAACGACTTGCCCAGCCTAGCCACAGCTAAAGCCATTTGAGCTTTTGTGGCGGGCTAAAGGTAGGTACCAGTAAGGAGAACCTAGTAGTAAAGGATAGTAAAGGGCAAGTAACTAGCAAGGAAGCTGCTAGGAAGGACACAGAAGAGCTATGAAGAGCTTGGGTTCTTCAAAGACAGAAGTCCCACTTCGAAGACTTGGGTGGGAGAGAAGCTTCCTTGAAGAACCTCTCAGTCCCCTGCACCGTCTGAAATGCTGGCCTCAACGAGCGCTGGTAGCGCTTTAAACGTCTGGCGAGAGCGGCAACGCCGCCCAAACCACGGAGAAGAACAAGGTAAAAAACAAAGTGAGCCACGTGTTGCTGCGAGAGCGTAACCACTTTGACGCCAGGTAAAAAGATGGCGCGTTGATTCTAAGATGATGTATATAAGCACTGTGTGGGCCTGAATCAAACACCCGAACCCGCCACACATTCTTACTAAAGGCAAAGTGAAGTCCAACTAGTTGACCTTATGGAGCAAACATGTTGTATTAACATATGCGTGTTCGAGCTGAGCAAGGGACTGTTCCCTTGAACGCCAAGATAAACTGTACAATCTGATGCTCATCTGGTGGCCATGGGAAACAAAGGCACAGCAAGAGAACCTCACAATGACGGGACTGAACAAAGCGTCGGAATCTTCAATGAAAGTCCTCAGAAGCTGGCCGTATAGAAAAGGACGCGCACAAAAAGGAAAGGACTAAGCGATAAAAGCCTGGCTCTCCCATACTCGCAGGAGCAGTCTTGTAAACAGGGAGAGGCTTGGATGCAAAGCATGCCAGTGGCTGGCAGCAAGCATATGTCAATCGGCTCGTGCATGTACATTTGGAAGATCGATTTGTCACCTTCAGCTGTTTCTGAGAGGATCTTGCTGGTTGCGTGACAAAGCGTCTTGGAGCCCAGCATGGCCAGTAGTGATACAAAAAGAACGCTCGAAACCTGAGAGCCCAAAGACCCTTGGACAATCCTGAATCCAATTGACATCTCTTTCAACCGTTATTGTCGATCATCGTTAATTGTCAGGATATCGAATATCTCTTCAAGGGTTCCGATAATAGCGATGGCCTCCAACCCAATAGTGATGGCCTCCGACCCAATAGCGAGGCCTCCAACCTATATAATAGCGATGGCCTCCAACCTGATAGCGATGGCCTCCAACCCAATAGCAAGGCCTCCAACCTGATAGCGATGGCCTCCAACCGAGAAGCGATGGCCTCCAACCTAATAGCAATGACCTCCAACCTAATAGCGATGGCCTCCAACCTAATACACCGGTAGCGATGGCCTCCAACCCAATAGGAGGCCTCCAACCTAATAGCGATGGCCTCCAACCTAATAGCGATGGCCTCCAACCCAATAGCGATGGCCTCCAACCCAATAGCGAGGCCTCCAACCTAAAGGCCCACTACGATGACTAGGATCTTTTGATTGCCCTGCAACATGTGCAGCTCTTCTAGCTAAGAGCCCTGCTGCGCAGCTCTTCGAGCCAGTGCATTTCCGAACGCCCCACCTGAGGCAGAGCATTTCAAATCTCCGAGGCTGCTAAACAAGAATCCAGAAGATACATGATGTGTTTTGAAAATAGATAGTTACTGAATGTTACTGAAATAAATCCAAGCAGAAAAGAAAGGACTGTTCATATCATACAAGACCATACAAGTATCAATCACTTGAAAAGAACCGATCTCTCACAAAAGCTCAAAAGCATCAGATTAAGACGATGACAAGAAAGACGGCGGCGCACTGCCTAACAAGCTTTCTTGCACTGCGCTCAAAGCAATGTCTCATGCCACCAGCTTGTTAGTCAATCGTGAACAAATGGATCTCACCTGCAGCTTCCTGTAGTCGATAATCAACACCTGCACATCGTGCGAATCTCCCAAAAAATCTCTGAAAACAGTGAGTAGCTCTTGAGGTCTGAGCTTCAAACTAACTCACCTTTGGCCCCTAGCAATGGCTCGCAGCGATAGGCGAGCCTGCAGGCACATGGAACCTTCAAAGTTTAGACCAAACAGCCTTCACGTGTCGTGAGAGCCAGACTTTCATAAGTCTTCAACTTGTATAAGAGCGATGGCTTCCATCCTAGTAGCGATGGCCTCCAACCTAATAGCGATGACCTCCAACCTAATAGCGCTGGCCTCCAAAGAAATAGCAATGACCTCCATCCTAGTAGCGATGGCCTCCAACCTAATAGCGATGACCTCCAACCTAATAGCGCTGGCCTCCAACCGAATAGCAATGACCTCCAACCCAATAGCGATGGCCTCCAACCTAATAGTGATGGCCTCCAACCTAGTAGCGATGGCCTCCAACCCAATAGCGATGGCCTCCAAAGTAATAGCGATGGCCTCCGATAGCAATGGCCTCCAACCAATGGCCTCCAACCTAATAGCTATGGCCTTAATAGTTAGCAATGGCCTTCAACCTAATAGCAATTATGCCTCCAACCTGATAGCGATGGCCTCCAGCATAATAGCGACGGCCTCCAACCCAATAGCGATGGCCTCCAACCTAATAGCGACCTCCAACCTAATAGCAATGGCCTCCAACCTATTGGCAATGGCCTCCAACCTAATGGCATCCAACCTAATAGCAATGGCCTCCAACCTAATAGCAATGGCCTCCAACCTAATACACCGGTAGCGATGGCCTCCAACCCAATAGCGAGGCCTCCAACCTGATAGCGATGGCCTCCAACTGAGAAGCGATGGCCTCCAACCTAATAGCAATGACCTCCAACCTAATAGCGATGGCCTCCAACCTAATACACCGGTAGCGATGGCCTCCAACCCAATAGGAGGCCTCCAACCAAATAGCGATGGCCTCTCCAACCTAATAGCAAAGGCCTCCAACCTAATCGCAATGGCCTCCAACCTAATAGCGATGGCCTCCAACCTAATGGCGATGGCAATGACGATGGCCTCCAACCTAATAGCGATGGCCTCCAACCCAATAGTGATGGCCTCCAGCCCAATAGCGATGGCCTCCAACCTAATTAATAGCAACCGGATAGCAATGGCCTCTCCAACCTAATACCAATGGCCTCCAACCTAATAGCAATGGCCTCCAACCCAATAGCAATGGCCTCCAATTTAATAGCAATGGCCTCCAACTAAAAAAGCGATGGCCTCCAACCGAATAGCATTGGCTGCTATAACAATAGATCCTGCCGAGCCGCTGGGAATTGCCTGGACCGGTCGTTAACACTGCTGAGGGGCCAGCCTGAAATGACGATCTGAGCTTACCTATTGAAAGCTCAAGGAATTTATGCGCTGGGTGGTTGGCAGGCGAAATGATGTCATCCAACGGCACAGACACGTAGCCTAGCCGAGTATCGCTACCTTGGCAGATATGATGTTTAAAGGATCTTAAAGGTCTAAAGGTCAATAACTAATGAATCGCAAGTCAAGCGAAAGAGTGTTGCCATAAATTTAGAGCAGTGCCGAAAAGAGGTGCTCTGCTCATAACCTCAAGCTCGAGATTGCCTGAGGCTTGAAGCAAATGGGCAAGAGGCTCATACTACCAGCATCTACCAGCTACCGCAAGTGGCCTCTTGTGGACACGACTGGGAATTCCATGAGGCAGTTCCATGCAGGTCTGAGGTTGCTCCTGGCAAAGGAGCACTGATCCAGGTCGCAGGAATAATGTACGCTGCTTTCACGATACTGATGCCGACGTCACTTGAAGAATCTGTGCACATGTAATTTGTTCACTGCCCCTGACTAGCTACCACCACTACCCCGACTGAGCAGTCCCTGCAAGAGTGCATTTTTGTGAAGCTTGTGTCTTCGCTATTTCCCAAAATCAATTCTGAGCTGCCAAAGACGCTCCAGACAGTAGGGCTGCGTCGAACATGCTCGCCCAAGCGCCCGCGCCTAGGCAATCAGTTAGGCAGCTGCAACTAGTTTGATTTATGTTCGACTTTGTTAACTTCCAGGATGCTGAGGAGCGTGGCACGTAAGGGTTTGTTCCAATGCCGTGGACAGGTCTCAGGTCACGAGCTTCAACTACAAGTACCTTCGGCAGAAAGAGCTTCGCTCCTGACCAGCCTGTATATCTCTTTCAGTCTACTCCTGCCTGAAGCATTCCAGTTGCCTGGGGTGCAAGTCATAAAGCTTGGTCCCCTACACTGTTTGCTATTCATGTCCTTTCAATGTCGCGACCTGACGTCTTCATCATGCTTTTTGTAAAACATGGTAGGGCCAACACAATGTCTGGCGCTGCTGCAAGTTCCTCTGCTCGACCTCATCCATCATTGGGACAGTTCCTTGTCTGCTAAGTAGCACGGTTGTGGTTGCCTTGAACAAACGACACATGTTCGTTTCATTCGTCTTCATTCGCCTTGTTCGTCCCCTTTTCCTTTGTCGGTCTCTGAACATAGTCCGAGCGAAGCGCTGTCTCGAGAGAGCGCAGATGGAACCAACCTGCAGTCACAAGTGGAGTGCGGCAGCTGTTGGCATAACCAATCTAGACATTGATCAGCATCCAGAGCCAATGTAGGGCATGTACCATGGAGAAAGGGCTCGGCCTTACAATCCAGGTCAAGCATGCAACTACTGCTATCCTGGTTTGCATCAGACACATCATGCTGCCTCACCGTCCTTCTTCATGGTTTGTCTGCGTGGGAAGGTTGATGAGCTCTTCTGCTTCATTTAGGGCTGCAGCCAAGTGGTCCCTGAGGACCAACTGAACCACCTGCAAGCTCTCCCTCTTTCGAGGACACTGTTTGTGTGTTCGTGGGCGAGGGGTTGATTCTCTTCAACGGGCCATGAAAGTCTTATCTGCCTGAAGCAGACTCTTCCTCGTCATCCTCCCGACAACGATTCGAAGAGGCATCAAGCCTTGTCCAAATTGCATGGGAGTTCCACCAGCTCTGCAGTGCGCTGGTTGAATAGTAAAATGCACAAGGCCACGACTCCAGTTCAACGACCATGTCAGCCCAGAAGATCTGAAACAAAGGTACAAAAGTGCCCCCCCCAACAGCTTTCAAAACGAGAGAAGCGCATGTCAATTGAGAGTGCCACACAGCTCCAAAGCATGCTAGGCAGAACAACGCGAGGCCAAAAATGCTTACTACATTCTTGCTTGGGCCCCGCGTCAAAACCTTTCCTTGCAACCAAGCTGCTTGTACAAGCGACGTTATGAGGTTTTGCAGCGCAGTGGGCATGGCTGGGTCCTCGTTTGGTAGTGCTCTCAAAGTCTCAAGCGCTGCAACGACACGCAACAAGATCAATCTGTGACTGTGTGGTGTGGTTGCCTTTGTACATTGTCGAAGGACGTGCTGCTGCATCTCATCCTCAGATGTACGTATCAAGGAGCACAACACCGGGCATTCGACAGCTGAGGAGACTGCCATCAAGCGCCTTCGTGCGCTTTTGGAGAGTAGCAGCGGCAGGAAGGGGACGTTCATGGCGTCGATTGCCCTTTGAGGCTATCTCAAGGACCAGTGATTGTGCAAAGCAAGAAAAGGTGGAGCTCGTTTGATACGCTTTGGCCAGTTGGTAGCTCATTGAAAACTTCACAAGAATTGAAGCAGGCATCCTGGTTGGTAGGTTCCATGTTATGCTGCAGCAGTTGACTTTCATCATGGCAGGGTTAACATACCTGCTGCATCCTGCTGCTGTCTTGGCTTGACCCAAGTGCAAGGCAATGATCAGTGCTATTAGCATGGATTGCTGCGGCGGCTTCAGCTCATCTTGCTTACTACCCAATGATGTCTAGTGTCCTTGAGCAAATTCTTGGGAAAGCTGAAAGGAGACCTTCTTAGGGATGGACGAAAGAGAACGTCAGCCCATAGAGAAAACAATGCTCAGAAAAACAGGAAATGATTTCGATGTGGAAAACAAGCGCAGTTCTCCACTTCTCCTCTCATTGAAATATTATGAAAGATATATAAATACAGTACAGAACTGTCAAGCGCCCTCCTTCGAGACTGGCTCCATAGCATTCACAGTCTCCCAGGCACGTGGGGCTCCGTCCCAGTAGCGCAAGTCCTTCCAAACGCGATTCGATTCAATGATGGAGATAGAGATAGCGACAATATAGACGAAGTCATGCAGAATGATGAAGGAACGAACAAAGGAAACGACGATGGACCCGGCAGAAAGCTGTTTAGTTCACTGACCGGTGAGGCGGTCTCTGTTTCACCTCTAACGCACACATCGCACAGTTTCGCGACTGTCCGCTCATTCCTCATACTGGCCAGGCATGGCATCAACTGCTTTGGTTGGCACGGAATTGCCATATTGATCCTCAACTCGTTTCGTCAAAAAGACGTTCGATAGAAGATGTTGAACATTGGTCTGCAGTGTCTGCAGCTTGCAATATGCTGAGAGATTTGAGAATGGTGCAAGTCCTCCCGCAGCAATCAACCAATAGGTAGAAACTCCTAACTGCACCTTTGATTTGGACTATATTATATTCCAACATATCCCAACCAGTTTGATGCTGGGAGCGAACTAAGGATTGAACATACTGAACAGCTTCTGCTTGTGGCCTACTTTTGCCTCCTGCTGCTCGAACCAAGCGAGCTTGGCTGTGCGCACTCTCCTGCATCGACAGGAGATACACGAGTATTCAAGCGCTTGAGCATTCCTTTGAGATACAGTTGAAGTCAGAAAGATGCAGAGGAGCAAAGCATGTGACACGAATAGGTCGGTTCACCTCCCTCCCCAGCCGGGCCTCAGAGTCTTTTCCTGCACAAATAAGATTTGAATTGGACAGAGTGATGTCGCCGAATGCAGAATATCTTACGGACAGTCCTTTCTGTGAGACCCATCCAAAAACATCCAAGAAGAGTACGCTCTTAAAAGCGCGCGGCACCATGGCGCCATTCTCCTCACTTCATCTTCGCATCGGAAATCCAGCACAGCGGTTGGATGATCTCCTGCTCTTCCACTCGCACAAAGATCGTCATGATGCCCAGTGCAATGCCATTTGATATGTAGGCCTGCAGCTATGCTAGGCGCCAAACTGCGGGCCCCAAGCTTTGTCGATGCATGTGCCGTCTTGAAAGCGAGGCAGGGAAACGAGCGGTGCCGGCAATTCTGCCAAGTTGGTTTCTTCACGGTGGAAGGACCAAATGTACCTGAAGCTCGATCTAAAGCGGACTAGTTGGAGGCCATCGCTAGGTTGGAGGCCAATGTAATTTGGAAAATGATGTTTTCTTACGTGAGAAAAAAACCTACTCTTTCAAGTCAGGAGCAATGACGCGCACGCGGCAAAGAAGCTGAAAACGGGGCCGATGCCAACGAGAACTTGCAAGAATCGCTGCTGCCCAGTGGGCCTCAACAGAATCATGTTGCAAGCTCAACGACTGGCAGGTCAACATGTGCTGAGTTGGCTGGAAATGCTGGGAAAAGCACAAGGTGAGGTCCACTCTGGCAACGACCTGCGCCGATTGAGCCGCCGGATAGAGCCAGCAATTCAACAAGAAGCCAGAAATGACAGAACTGTCGAAAACAAAAGAGAACTTGCGAAGTTCAAGTAGCCTTTTTCAAGTAAGTTTGAGCAGACTCACATGACAATGGACGTCTACAGCAAATCGGTCGTTCATCAGCCACGTGACTGATTCCTGTGGCATGCACTTCTTGTGGATATTAGTGCAAGCACAAAAGCAACCTCTTGATGGGTGCGGCTTTTTCAAAATCTGGTCATTGAAGGTCAGTCACCACAGGATGGTAAACCCAGCCACGTGCACCAAACGCTGTACAGTATCACGCATAGAGGTTTAAACGAATGCAGGAAGCAAGCAAACGGACTCACCTGTTGAACCAACAAATGTTTCAAGAGAAGTTCGGTTGTTCAGCGATGCCGCTGCTTGCGGCCCTTCGTCGGCTGCAAGCCGACAGGAACTATATACACGCCTTAGTCGGCGGCAATCCTGAAGGGCAAAGTTACAAAAGCTCAAATCTTGACAGACGGAGTTACAAAGGGTCCCATTTGGAACCCTCCGAACTGTTCCAACCCAAACTCCCTTCTTCTCAGCTATGAAGCTGCCTTGGCTGAAAAGTGACGTTCAGTGCTGAATATGGAGCTCGATGGAAACCCCCATTAGTTTCTGCCACAACCCTTGTTTGACTACCATGTCATCCTCTCAAGCATTTCTGAAAGCAAATTTATCAATCAAAATGTGCATAGTAATTGTCCTAGGAGACATCAGGTAAAGCGGTAAAACCCAAGCATTCACCAGCCATGTTGAAAAGGAACATGAATGCAACAGGCAGACCTGAGCATGATTTGTGAGCTACGAGTAGCTTCAATCTCATGTTGTAGCCTGGAGCTGCCCCACGAGTTGAACGTCACAGAGCCAGAACAGGAGCTATGAGAGGCAAGCTCAAATGGCCCCATACAATGTGTAGTATATGGAAGAACCGCAGAACCCTCTGACTCTCAATCCTGACAAGTGATGGCCTCAATCCTGACAAGTGATGACACTTGTAGTCTTGGTAATCTCTGAGTTCTCTTTGGTTGTGTTTTGAAATGGTCTGTCTGTAGGCATCCCGTTGCAATTAAGCAGCTCTTTGAAGGCGTCACTCTTCAGGAGCATCAACTGGCAGGTGAAGCTCAGTTCTGGTGTTGGTTCAGGTTCAAAGTGGAGCTCCAAACAATATACAATCTCTGTCAATGTCCCCTCCTCGTTATCCAGTTCCTTCATTCAAAAAGGCTTTGCGATGGTTTTGGATGTGGAGCTTTTAACATTGTTTTCCAATTTTGGTCGATAGCTTATATACATGGGCGTTGATCTAAATTCCTTCATCTGGGATCCGTCATTCTTAGCCAAAAAAAATACTTTAGCCAAACGTTCGCCTTCCTGCGTTTTTTCTTTCACCGAAGCATGTTGTAGGTATGTTTGCCATGTATGTTGTATGAGCTTCTTCTTTACTGGCAGATACGAACCAAAAACTTCACTGTTTGTCAGCATGTGTCTTCTACTTATATAACTGTTGACACCCTGTACGTCTCTTTTGTTTCTCCTGGGTGTCTGCAACAATCAAAAAAATGCAAGAACCACTGTAGTAGCCGGTCGCTCAGACTTACTCATCATGGGTTGGGGGTCAGATGTGGCAGGGTGAACTTTCGCCAATTTTGAGCTGAAGTGTCGCCAAACTTTCGGGTAGAGTTTTGTGGCAGAACCAACCCCCCAAAGCAGGAGGAGGAGTTGTAGTAGTAGTAGTAGTCGTAGTAGTCTTAGTAGTCGTAGTAGTAGTGGTAGTAGTAGTAGCAGTAGCAGTAGCAGTATGTAGCACCAGCAGCAGTAGCAGTAGCAGTAGCAGTAGCAGTATGTAGCACCAGCAGCAGCAGCAGGAGTAGGAGTAGGAGGAGGAGTAGGAGTAGGAGTAGAAGTAACAATTGGTTGGTGACAATTGGTTGGTAGCAATTGGTTGGTGAAAATTGGTTGGTGACAAGTCGTTGGTAGCAATTGGTTGGTAGCAATTGGTGGGTGGCAATTGGTTGGTGACAATTGGTGGGTGGCAATTGGTTGATGACAACTGGTTGATAACAATTGGTTGGTGACAATTGGTGGGTGGCACTTGGTTGATGACAATTGGTTGATGACAATTGGTTGGTGACAGTTGGTGGGTGGCACTTGGTTGATGACAATTGGTTGGTGACAAATATATAGTTGGTAGCAATTGGTTGGTAGTAACTCGTGGGTGGCAATTGGTTGATGGCAACTGGTTGGTGACAATTGGTTGGTCGCAATTGGTTGGTGACAATTGGTTGGTGACAATTATAATTAGTTGGTGGCAATTGGTTGATGACAGTTGGTTGGTGACAATTGGTTGGTGACAATTAGTTGGTGGCAATTGGTTGGTAGCAGTTTGTTGGTGGCAATTGGTTGGTGACAATTGGTTGGTGACAGTTAGTTGGTGGCAATTGGTTGGTGACAGTTAGTTGGTGGCAATTGGTTGGTAGCAAGTGGTTGGTGACAATTGGTTGATGACAATCGGTTGATGGCAATCGGTTGATGACAATTGGTTGGTGACAATTGGTTGGTAGCAATTGGTGGGTGGCAATTGGTGGGTGGCAATTGGTTGGTGGCAATCGGTTGGTGGCAAACGGTTGGTGGCAAGCGGGAGGCGGGAGGAGGAAGGAGGAGGAGCGGATACCACACTAAAAACAAAAACCCCACACGTCAATGTGGGGGAAAAACTTTCGCCAAATGAGGTTTAAACCTGTTCCAGGGTCATCGTCAACAACGCTACCCATTAGGACCTTTAGATAGACAACCACATGGACCTGTGTCAAGGTGTAAAACACTGCCAAATAGTTACTACATTACAAATAAGACAACCAAACATTGTCGCATTTCTCGTTATACTTGTCCTTCCTGTCTCATGCAAAACACCCTTTTAAGAAAAGATATCATTGATTATGAGAGATTCATTGAACAAAAGCTTCATTTATCGACTAAAAAAACATCGCTGTTCCGAGTCCAAGTAGGAGCACTGAAAGTCGACTTTTCAAGGCAGGTGGAGATCGGAGCAGTTTTACTTCGATGTGCAGATTTCATTCATCAGCACTTTGGACATGATGGTGGTCTCTGGCGCGCTGTGATATACTACCACTCTACCACTACCACAAGGACAACAAAATCATCCTTCTCACTCATCATTGTGATCTTCTGAACACTGCTGGGCTCTCCGGAAGGGTGGGGGGGTTGAAGATTCTCACCTCGATCTCCTCAGATTGAGTGTCTTATTGATTTTGCCCTGTGCCACGTGGCAAAATGATCCAGTTGCAAAGCCTCGAACTCCTTCACGTCAATCATCCCATCTTTGTCCACATCGAATTGCTTAACCAGCTTTTCGGCCTGGAAGCTTGAAACTCCGCAGAGCAAATTTGCAACAACGAAAGGATTCTGCAAGCGCCAAGAGGGTATAGAATATGTTTGCATGTTTAAAAATATGTGCAAAAGATTGTAAAAGGTATGGAGGCCTTGTCTTTGGTGATTTGCAGGCCACCCATGATTTCATTTACATCGAGCTTGCCGTTCCTCGGTGAAGCTGGTGGGCAACATTTAAGATTGAAAGAACGGACAAAGAATCGAAAGCCTTGCGACCTTCTGTCCTATCACTTCTGGACTCTGCTGCAGCGAAAAATCATGCATCATGTATCATATCATATATACATATAGTTATATAATATGTATTTGTACATAACAACAAGAAAATGCTTCTAAGCCGAAGTCTGGTCCTTGTCCAGGCCGTGGAAGAAGTTCTGCAAGGTTCGAATTCGCTAGAACGTAGTGAGGATTATACGAAACCGCCAGTGGTTGACTTACAAGGGGTATTCGCCTTCGCCTCATCGAAGAACGAGTCGGCCTCAGGCTCCTTGGCCGCCTGAGGTAACGTTGGACATAATACTTTTTTAACGATGTTGTATAAGAGATTGGTTCGAAGGACTGCCACTCCATGTACCAATCCTCCTTGGACCATTTCTTGAAGAAGTCGTTGCCTTTGTTGTCCACAACCTGATGCTCTTGAACTTGATTTCAGGGCTCGTGCCAGTGCCATGTGCTAGAATGCAAACTGCCACTTCCAAGGCAACTGCAACAAATGCAGGAAAGTCTTCAACTTCAATTTTCCAGACTGCCTGTCGAGCGGGATTTACAGTGCAAAAATATATTTTGCCAGCACGAACCATGAAAGGAAGCGCTGAAACGACCTCCATGCCCAACTCCTCCATGTCCAGCACTTCCACCTCAGATCTGGCATCAAGCTCGCTTGAGCTGACTGCCTCCGTGTCGGGCCTTCTTGATGCTTTTAGCACTCAAAGTGGCAGCAACTCCACCTGAACTCTGCGTAGATGTGGTTTCGTCCTTTAGAACCGACTCTGCTGAGTGCTTGACCAATTGAACCCAAGTAGAAGCCTTGTAACGTGCAAAACTGTTTCGGTATATTTCCGTCGAGTCTCATGTCTTTTGCCTGCACCCCAAAGACATTGGAAGGAGGAAGCAGATCGGCCTCCATGCTTCTGGCACGCTTTCGTCACATCCTTTGACCGATTGCCCTTCCTGCGAAAACCCAAGACTCAGAATTTCTCGGATGACAACTTAGAGCAAGAGCAGCGGCTACGCAAAAAGTCGAGTGAAACTCTGCAGTGCTCCCGATCATGATCATCGAACCTCGCCTCAGCTCTGACTTTCAAGAAATTGAAGGAGAACCCCCCCAATATCCCCCAATACTCGACTTGCATTGCATGTCACAGTTCTTCCTCAATCCAAGCGGACTTCCCAGCTTCGACAAGGTACTGAGCTTGGAATGTGTCGACATACCTCAAGACGTTTCTCTCGCAACAAGTGCATCTTCAAAAGCGAATCCGAGCACTCCAAGCCAAGTTGCTGGTCCATGCGACCAGAGGTTGTCGGTCCAAAAGATCCAGAGGGCATTCCAGCAGGTGTCTGTCAAGAGTTTGAGTTGACAAATCAGACAGTGGGTGCTTTGTATGACTCTGACTCTCGAGCTGGCCTTAGCTGGTCCAGCATAGTAGACTGGATATTGTTTGATATACCTTGGAGTAACATTGCAATTCTGTCATTCCTCGTTGTTCCAATTCAGGTCTGTGCTCCGGCAATCCTTTTCCCGAGTCCAACATATCCTGCAGTGGGCATAGAATGGCAGCAAGCAAATCCTCTTGTAAAAAGGATCATTGCTCCTGCATCTTCGCATGTGCAATATCACGAGCCACAATAATGGTGCCCGTCCTGATGAGTTCAAGAAGCTGAACACTTGAACAAACATCCTGTTGTCATGCAGTTGTTATGAGGTTGTTCTGAAGTGAGTCTAAGTGGTCACTCAATGTGTGTTTGGACTGGGCTTGCTCAACTGCCGGCAGCCAAGATGCAGAGCCAAACGTGTAGCCACAGGGAACTGGCTCAAGTACTTTAAGTTCTCCTCAGCAAAACAGTGACAATCCACCGATCTGCGGCCAGAAGCAACTGGTAACCAAGCCTCCATGGGCTTGTTCAGATCAACTTTCACGATATCTCCTGGATACGGTGCAGTGACAGTGACGGACAGTGTCAAACGATGACTGGATGGGATCTAACCGGCTTCACCCCAATAAAACAAGCAAAGTTGACCCCGACACACTGTTCTTTTTCAGCAGGATAAATATACCTGAACCATCTTTAACCCTGTCGCTCATGACAAATGTCTGCGTTTCTAGCCCCACCTGCCTCAAAGAGAGATTTAATCCCGTTCTGAGACCTCTTCAAGACCTGTTCCCCCTCAAGAAGCCTCTTTCAACCTTAAGAAATCAGCCGTTTCAAGTAAACATGAGTGAAAGCCCTGCTACCGTACTAGGAGCAAGGACGCTACTAGTAGCTCCTGGCCTTACTACTAGGAACAAGAACGCTACTAGGAACAAAGGGCATCGCTACTAGGAGCAAGGACGGTACTAGGAACAAAGAAACATGCGTTAGGGTGGCTTGCCGGGAGGGATCTCCATGCCGTGCCGAAGTCTGGGTGTCAAGAATAGGTGTGAAGCCCCCGTATTTCAAAGCTGTATCTGCACGGCTGGATGTCCAACTCTTGTTCTCCAAACCCCCGTGCAATAGTGCAGCCATTTCAAGCGTATGTCAAAGCTGCTTCTATCAGCTGCATCCACCCAAGGGAACAGAGTGCTGCGAAGAATGGGAAAGCTTCCTTTCGCAAACACTGCCCCTTCGAGCACGGACTGGTGAAAAAACGGGAGGAGAGAATGGGGAGAAGGAACTGGGGGAACAGGCTTTCCGGACATGTGCGCACAAGGGTTGGGGTTCGGCACTGAAGGCGGCTACAAGCCTCTCATAAAGTCTTCAAGGTACGACGAGGATCAATTGGTCTTCCGACGCTTTCTGTATTGAATTGAGTTGCAACGAGGTTGCGGCGGTGTTGCAAGTAACACATTTCTTGTAGCTGCTGATCTTACACATCGGAAACGTCGCTTCTAGCATAGTGTTCAGTGCATTCCGATATTCCAATCCATTCGCTGTGGAGCTTTGCAAAAGTTATTTGTGGGAAAGACCTTCCCAAGGGAGGCGGTAGAGGAGTCATGAGAAGTCTGCCCATGGCCAAACCGCAGGAGAAGTCTTCGTCGAAGTCATGCAGGTAGACGAAGTGGGGGAGGGAGAAGCGTGGCTGTCTTGGCCTGTACAATTCTGCATCGGGAGGCTTGGGCTCGTCTTTGGAGATTTGCAAGGGGTCCGGGGTCTTGACTGAATTCACTCACAGAATTCACGGATCTAGTTGCTCTTTGGACTGAAAACGCTGTCTTTCAAGGCCCACTTGCCCAAATATGGAGGCTAAAGCAGGCTGATTGAGGTACCCTGGTATCATGATGAAGTTCTTTATCACGAGTGCGAGTCGTAACTATGGCCCTTTGGCCAGCATATCTCCTAGGCATTCCAAGACCACTCCATCTGCTCCTCCTTTCTCCAAAGACTGCTCCGTAATGTCAGGCATATACCTCCGACATGCTACATGTGTATGTGTTGAGGATTTGCATGAAATGCACTCCTACTTTGCAGGGTCTGTCTCCAGCTTTTCAAGGAAAACGCCTTCCTCTGTGATTTTGGCCTGAACATGGATGGTGTTTGGTCTCAGTAGCTTGATGATGCATGCTGAATTCAGCTGCGGCGTCTCCGCCAAGCGAACTCCATCAGAAGGAAAAGACATGCGGCATCATGCGGCCTTCGCTTGTCTATCTGCTGAACAAGATACTCCTACACCAACGGGACAAGAGGCTCCTGAGAATCCAAATCAGGCAGACTCAAGTCATGTTCCTTGATTAGTAACGAGTGCATCACTACTAGTAGAAAGTGCATGTTCCTTGTTCATTCAAGGAATTGCAATCATATAATTGACAGCTGAGGCACCGTGACGTGGAAGCCTGACAACCCTAACATCATGCAGGAAGTACCTGGCGCCAAACAACCAGCTCTGTGTAGCAAATACCCTGGCAATCCCTCTTGCTGCAGGTCACTTTCCACCAAACTGAGCGCCAATCCCAAGCTCCTTTGGCAAGGACTGTGTATAAGATGTATATAGTGTTGTTGCGCTTCTCACACATACACACATTGTCCTGAGACAGCTTGCGGATCTTCTCCTGAAGGCGAAAACCAATGAATCGTGTCCATTCTAATGCCGCGGGGTACAAGATGGCCAATGGCAGGTTGGCACTGGAAGATCCAAAAACAATCAAAATAGGTATTCTGTATCAATGTCTATATATCTATATATATCTTCTGTATTTGAAGTCTGTACATAAATACTATTTCTGTCAACGCCGGTGTTGCTTTTGGTTGTTGGATTGTTTCCGTGTGCAGTTCCTTTTGTTATCAGTGCACTCCATTGCTGTGGGGGGGTCCTATGCTTTGTTCTGCTGTGTCATTGTGTGTGTGTGTGTCTTGGGGGCCTCTTTTTCTACTTTCCAAAGCGGTAATATAAATAGGATTCTACACTCGCCTCTTAGGTCTACACGCCCTCGGCCCTAGGCAGCTAGGCTCTGTAAAGACTCGACTCGCTGGACTTAGCTGCTCAGCCACACGCCATCTTCACTACCCGTACGGACATGACGCGCGGCAGCTCGCAGTGCACAAAGACATGTCGAAATGAAAAATGGCGAGGCTGAAACGTAGGTTACCGGCCGCCCATTTGACAAACTAGACAGATTGACTTTGGTGAAGGTTGTGCAGAACAACAGAAGCCATGCAAAACACCCCCACTTCGACATGCTCCATCCAATCTCATTGATTGTCAGAGTTGACGATCTCCATAAACGGAGAAAAGGTGGGCACAACAAAAGATCTCACTAGACTCTTAACAAGCCACCAGCAAAAGGATGACATGTGACGAAAAGGCGTTCTACTCCTCACCATTGAAAATATAAAATACAATTGAACAAATACCTGTCGAAGCTGCTGAACTTTGAACCCAAAAATGCTGCAAAGGGTGAACAAATATTGAAAACAATTGAAAACAAGTGTAGTGTTGTGATTCTGCCATCCTGACCCGATCTTATATAACTTCAGCAGCTGCTGCTCCTCCCACTCAAGATCTCGAAAAGCCCTGCCCAGTTTGTTGCCCGAGGTTGGCAAGCCATCCAAATATTTACAGCTTGCTAGCTTCACCTCAGGGTTTGCATAGCATGACTGAGGCCTCTAGAGACTCTAGAATCTAGAACTTGCCAAATGCCTTTACGCCTTTGCATTCCTCAACCTTGGTGCGGTGCGGTCTTGAGATTCTGCTCCGCTGATAGTCCACCGACCACAAGGGCAAGGTGGTACCTTGCATCTCTGGAAGAAGACAAGAACAAATTATGGTGTTTAGGCCTCCTTTATTAGCCCTCTAAAAACACCTTCTGTTATTCTGTTCCTGGTTCCGAAGCCGTTTACAAATGCTTGGGACCCTTGGTCGGACTGCATCGGGTCTGACAGCAAGCACATCTAACCGAGTCACGGGGGGCAAGCAGCCGTGCCAATGCCCTGCACCAGTTCGGTGACGAAGTCGGTGAAGGCCTCGAGGTTGGAAGTAAGTGTTGTCTCGACATTAGGCTTCATATGGCTTGATGGGAGAAGCGTGGCTCTTACTCGTAGACTCAAACCAAGTTTAGGCAAATATGTTTTAGCCCGCTCCTACTTAATTAAGCGGGAGGCTACTTATTTAAGTAAGGGAGTTAGCTTCTAGTACATAACTGGACGCAGGATAGCTGCCGCTCGCGCTAATCATTTGGTTCCTAGATGTTTTGAGAAACTTCAATTGGCGCAAACTTGGGCAACGCTCTGAGCTCCTCTGGTGTTAAATGATATGGATGGATATGGTGTACAAATGTACAAGTGAGTTGCTAGCAACGGCCTTGTCATTCAAAACACCCTTGGTCTTTTGCAGTAGCCTAAGCCAGGCCAGGTGTGTGTGAAGGATCGCATCGGAGCTCTTGCAAAGTATGCTGTCGTGTCAAAATTGTCAAAACTGCACCAAGCAGCTGTGTCTTGTTGGCACTGCCGCCGCCTTTCGCAATGTATAGCACGTCGTAGGTGTTCCCGTGCCTTCAGTCACCGTTGCTGTGTTCCCAGCGAACTTGGCAGATCTAAGTTGTCAGACTGGCTGAGCATGTCGATCTGGGCTGGCAAGTTGGTCTTGGTATTTGCCTCTTCAAACATGCTCAGCGGTGCAACCTCCAAGCGACAAGGTCTCCAAGAAAGACACACAACGTCACGGCGCATCGCATCACACACAGGGCGACGCAAGGCCCTCTCCTGGGAGTAGCGCAAATAGCCCTCTGAGTAGGCTTTGTAGACACCCCGCGAAATGAACTCCTGAAAAAGACAGCATTGGGTAAAAAATAGGTTTGTAGACAGATGTGATATGCAGGTACTATGTAGCATTGCGGACCATATGCCATCAAAAGTTCCTCGTCTCTACCATCCGTGAGAACATGAGTTCCCCGCTTCACCATGGCCTTACTTTGCGCAAATCAAGTGCAAGAAGGCCTAAAATGCATTCTTCTTGGTACTTAGGATGTTGCGATGGCAGTGCCAGTATCTTGACAGGAAGGCATCACCTGAATATATCCAAGCCCTAACAGGTCAGAAGGACTTCAGACTCGGCCACTAAGGCAACGCACTTTGCCGGCTGAAACCTCAGATTCAATGAAGTTCTTACAAATATCCTTCATGCATCTTTGTGCAGCTCTTTCTACTATCTAGTGCAAGTGGGATTGGTTCGACTTCCATTTTTATCCTGCACAAAGCTTGTTCACTTGAGTAATCAAGTGACGCTTCAGGGTAATCGACTTCGTATGCCTATTGATTTCAAGCACAGCTGACGACTTCGGACTTCGTCCGATGGCGGCCATCAGTGGCTCAAACGCACGGTCGGCTTTGTGCCACACCGCCGTTGAAATCAGCTCAAGCGCGCTTGAAACGAAAAGGCAAAAAATAGCATTTTCTCGATTTTGAGACCTGAAATCTGGGTGGTGCCACTATGTTACGTGTCAGCTGTGTCTACCCTAGACCAAACAGTGATCGAATAAAAAGCCATTACAAGCGGCATCACCACGCCCCTGTCAAAACCCTCTTGGCTAGACAAGGACGACTCATCATGCCCCATCATTACCAAGTTCTCTTTGAGAAACTTCAGAAAAGCGATGCAGCACAATGAAGTGCCTTAGACGGATTTCTGCTACGGCCAAAAAGCTAAACAAGGCTTTCTCCATTCTCACAACTCGACTCCAGCCTTGTGGACAAAGCTATAGTGGACGCTAGAAGTTCGGAGGGCGGAGGGAAGACTTGTGCGCCTCCTGTGCCCAGTGGGTGCTGCACGATGTATGGGCCAAAATACGTTCTTGTCTCTATTTGTCTTATTCTATGTATCTATATAATATATATAAGGGGGTAGGCGGCAGAAGTAGACTGGCAGGGAAAGGGGCTAACAACAAACAACCCAATGACACCTTTTGAAGCTCTGGAGGCCTTGCAGTAAAGAGGTTGTTCTTTTGTGCTTTCCTTTATCGTTTACTGCAAGTGTGTAAAAGCAAACGCAAGGCGCATGAAAGCACTACACATCGGCGATGTCCTGCTCCGAAAAGCTGGGCTTTAACAAGGTCGGTTGCTCGCCCTGGGCAAAACGGTCGCTTACAAGGTTTGAGTCTTGTGTGAAAGTGTTGAACGGGCCAGAGTGCAAGTTCGTCCCAAAACAAACATTTGGGGTGCGTTGAGGGTGTTCGTCCCAAAATTGGCCCAAGACTCAAGATATGAGAAGCATTTGACCCTGGCATATATGACGGGGTTCCTATATGAGGCCAAGTTTCAGGACCACTCATTGAAGGCGAGCCTCATTTGCCAAACTTGCAACGGCATTAAATTTTGAGTGAAGGATTTACAGCCAAATATAGCCATATTGCACTCTGTATGCCACATATTATTAGCAAATTACAGTATATGCAGCTGCTGTCAAGGAACCCTTCATTCCAGGATCAAGCATTTTCTCCTGAAGTGCCAGGTCTCAGGCGAGAGGTTGTCTCAAGGTGACTGTGCACTCCAATTCGGTCTAGTTTCTATTCTTCGAAGGTATCGGCCAACTTCCTGCAAAATTCACAAATGTGCAATGCAAGATATCTTGAAACAACAAGGGACAAACTTCCACCAATCAGCTGATTGGAGTTCCAAGCCCAATCCTTGATTGATTTTGCCTTACATGCATGAACTAGGCCACGAGAAAGGCATCAGTGGAACAAATTATTTTGCAATCGCCGTTGCAGCCGAGCCACTTGTTTCGAAAGTGTAATCTTTGTCTCAAAACTCAATGTTTGTAGATCAATACTTGTAGCAAAGCCTCTGTGCATGTTCTCTCACTCCAAGCCCTCAAAAAATGGAAGGAAAGAAAGAAAGGAGCCGCGGCCTTTCATGCGAACCAGTGCATTTGCCAGCACCTTGGTAATTTATCATCAAAGCCCATTCTGAAACAATTGCACAGGACACGTGGATCTGATACTCAGTTCAAAGAGCAGAATATAAACATGTGTCGACCTCGCACGAAACCGCACGTCTGAGTTCTTGTTTCCCGACCTTGAGCTCTACTTCCGAGTTCCCGCTAGCGGTCGCCAGCATGCGGAAAAAGACCTGACCAGGTGACCAGGCCAAGGACAACAAGCCAAGCAGGCTTTGCAAAGATGAAGCGTTTAATGAAGCTGAAAAAGGAGATATGAAAGGAAAGAATGTCCAAAGTCTGAATCAAAAGAAAAAAAGAACAATAAGTACAGTAGTAATTGGAACAGTTGATTGAACAAAGCAAGTCGAACAGTTGTAGGATGGCCTCAACATTTTTGATGTCAATGCCACGGGCCTCAGCGCTTGCACGCAAGAGAGAGAGAGAGAGAGAAAAAAAAAAAGACACACACAATGAACTTCGGAAAAGGTTGGAAATCATCGGGAACTGCTTGAAAGGGACAGAAAGGTATGATCTGAAGTGGTGCTGCTCTGTGAGCAGCTTGAACTGTCCATAGGTGATGCTTGACCTCGGACGCTCACAGATTTGCTGAGCCGGAATTGATAGCCGGTGGCCATCCATGGCTCTGCGTGCCGTCTGGAATCTCTGAGGGCAGGACGAGTCTGTGCAACAAAGGCGACCTCAGTGCAGGTGTAAATTGTCCATTCATACCGGGACAATACGATGGACAATTGGTTTACACTGCGCAATGTTGAGGATTGTACTGCAAAAAAGCTCCAGAAGCGCTTGAGCATCTTGAACATCCTGAACCATTCGTTTCAGTTGATGCTGGATTTGCATTTCAAGAGATCGGTCCTTCAAATGATGCTCCATCACCAAAGACTCCAAGTCTGGCTGGGCCAACTTCAAGGCCTTCTCAACAAAGGTTGACCTAAGAACTCTATCCCCTGGCACTGGAGCGATTCTGCTGGCATTCTAAGCAGTTGTACCAGCTACAGTAAGTGCCCCGCGTCACGATATTCCACACCTCAACATTGCAAATTGAGCACAATGACTGGGGGCAAAAGTAAAATCCGCAAGTAGTGCTGAGCAAACGGCTGAAATGGTGAAGAGGCTTACAAAAAGCAAAAACACTGCAGAGAGAAGGCCAGAACCTTAGTATCTAAGCATGCCCAGCAACTAAGATAATCGCTAAAGAAGACGTAAAGAATATCTGAAAAGGCCGGAGATGCCAAATGCTGCTGCTATAGAGTGTTCTCATAGTTCACACCCAGGCGCTTTGCTCAAGTGGCAAATAGCAGTCACGCCAATCAATTCCAGATGTTGTGGACTGGAACAATGTCAGAAGCGTTCCTTGTTGGGACAGTCACGTCCAACTCAACCCTCTGAGAATACTTCAAGATTGATTTGCAAGACGGCCACTTTGGTCGGCTAAGATCGGCTAAGTGTCTTCCCACGGAACCATACAACAGCATGATGTCACCTGGATATTGCACTGACTGTGCATGCTTTGTGCATGCTTTGCATGTATCGAATTGATCAGCGGAGCCTACATGGGGATCTTCCAGGCTTTGTGCTCCGTTGTCCCTTGCATACTGCCCCAGATAGTCTGCCAAGCCTTGCACCTGATCCCCAAAAGCAACAAAATGAGTGTCTAAATGAGTCTTGACATGTAGGTTGCGGTTACTTCCGCTCAGAATTTTTGCACTGGAAACTTGAGGAAAGAAAGACCTCTGAAGACCTCTAACTTTGACCAAGATGCCAGCAGCAAGGAAAAAATAAACATTACCTGAGCACCAAACCACCAAAGAGTGGCCTTCCGATCCCATAGGAGCGCTAAGCCAGGCACAAAAAATAGCATTGCTATACACCTTCGGTCCAGTGGCTTGGAGGTATTGCTTTTACTTAATCACTACAAAGGAAAAGGCTCTAAACTTGAAACAACACGAAATCTCTGGTGAGAAAATCTGCAAATTTGCAGCTATGCGCAGCCAGGAGGCCAAATTGCATTTAGGACAGACCCCAGCACGCAGTCCAACATCAATCGGAGTTCCCGGAAAAATCGAAGTGTCCGCAGGACGCGAAGCAACTGTTGCGATTCTCTCTCTCACTCTCTCCGTGGGGGAATCAAATCACCTTCACGATTGTTCAGGAATATCTTTTTTTGTAGAGTTCATAAAGATTGGAAGCTCTCAAGAGGAACTGTCATCAACCCCACGAGCAAGCAACTGTGTTCTTCACAGCCTTCGCTATCTTGCAGAGGCGCAGCAAGCGCAAGAAGGTAAGGTTCATACCCTCAATGCATGCACTCTCACGGTTTTCCCCGGCTCAAATATAGTTCACACCACTGGCTATTTGCTTCGCAGCATCCTGAACCAAGGAGCCTCGTTGGCAACTCCTTCAGACACCAGAATGAAGGAGGAGGTGATCTCAACTCCGGAGAAAATGACCTAGACAGGGCATTCTTAGCTGTCATTTTAGACTGTGTAGGGATGCTGGGGGTGAGACCAGTGCTAGGTCAAAAATATTCCAGCGCATGTCGTCATTGATGAAGAAATAGAGTCCTCGGCGAACGAAGCCCGACTCACTGGCAACTTGTCCTCTTCATACACTTTCAGCCACATGTCTGCCAAGGAACGATGAACTGCCTTAATATCAAGACTTTCTGTTCAAAAACACAGGGGCACGAAACCAAATGCCGCTACAGTGAAAATCGTCAAGGTCCCAGCCAACTTCAAGAGGATCTCGACAGCATAGAAGCAAGCAAAGCCCAATTCAATCCTGCGGTAATCTGCAGTCTGGTCTAAAGCACGGGATGACACTTAGACTTCAAAACGCTTCCAGGTGACATCATCAATGCATACGGTGTTGGAGCACCTTCGCGGCAATCAGGAGGCCAAAAGGCGTCATTGATCGGTCCGGTCTGTTGATGCTAGTTTGTGAACGTTTGCAACACCTGGGCTCTTCATTTCTTGGTCGGACCTCGGCTCATGATAAGTACTGTAGTGGTTCTGCTTGACCGTCATGACTTTGTCACAGCATACTCCCTTGCATGACTTCCCTTGTACTCAGTACTCTCCAACGCAGGGGTGAAAGCGCATCCGAAAGCAAAGCCCCAGAAAAGCCAAGAACTGCGTACAGGGTGGCCGCCCGGGGATGTACCGGGTCCCTGGTGGCCAGGGAAGCCGAGCTGCATGTAGGAGATGAGAATGGCATTTAACAGGATCACCTTTGCTTGCAAAAGATGGTGTTCTACTCATGCTCGAAAAAGAAACAGTTTGATATTGCACTCAGACAGCGACCAACATGCAAAGACCTCCAAATCGATTGCTATTCACGATATTGGCCAGCATTCCCGTTCTCTCCGGCTCCCTTCAGAAACCGGCGTGACACAAAACCCAAAGCTGCATATGATCTCAGCTTCTAGCTACTAATAGTAATGCCCTTGTTACTCGCAATGGCTCCAACAAACCCATTGGCCAAACACGGCGAATCCACCTGCACTGCGCGAAGAGCTCAATCGCATCGAAGAACTGGTCGAAGAAGTAACGGCCAAGAGCAGTGCTGCTAGCCATTTGCCTCCCCAGAGCAAGCTGCTTGCCATGTCCAGCTGAGCTTTGGACCAAACATTCTCAAACATTCTTACATACTACACATGTAAATATATACTGTATATATTCTTATGGAGTTCCGCCTTTGGGAAACTTGGGTCCAAGTGGGTGTTGATCTAAATTCCTTCATCCGGGATCCGTCATTCAAAAAAAGATTACTTTAGCCAAACTTTCGCCTTCCTGTGCTTTATCTTTCGCCGAAGTATGTTGTATTTATGTTTGCCATGTATGTTGTATGACGGATATCCTTTCTTTCATGTCAATGGCTTCTTCTGTACTGGCAGATGCGAAATGCAAACTTCACTGTTTGTCAGCATGTGTCTTCTACTTAACTGTTGACACCCTGAACGTCTCTTTTGTTTCTCCTGGGTGTCAGCAAGAATCAAAATTGCAAGAATCACTGTAGCCGGTCGCTCAGACTTAGAGTAACAAGTGCCTCGCTACTAGTAACAAGTGCCTTACTAGTAGTAACAAGAAGCTAGTAGATGTTGAGATGTTGAGCACTGGCGCCGTGCGTTCGCCAAGGGGCCTCGCAGAGCGTGCCATTGTTCTTCGAGGTGATGCCGTGGAAGCTAGGCCTGCGAAGCTCTGAGCGTTAACGCTTCGATAGGTAGGCCGAAAAGGCCTTAGGCCTTGTGTTCTCTCAATCTTAATCTGAAAAGTGTTTCTTTACATAAAACTAATTGGTTTCTTCTTCTTGTGGTTCCTTTGAACTAATTGATTTTTAAAGTGGAGGCCCACAAGCAAGTTCAAGCAAGAGCTTTGGGTGAAAAGCCGCTGAAAGGCTCCTGCAATCTGGAAGGTGACGGAGTCTTGGGATTCTTCGTTGGTGACGAACCTGGTGCAAGTAGCAAAACACAACTTCGAACGGATTGGGCTGGACTTTCAAAGAAAACGCACCATCTCCCAACCTCTGACCAAATCGAGGAGAGCTTCGCGACGTGATAGCTTTGCCCATGCGGCCGGCCTCAGAACCTCCGTCACCGGAACTCCGTTCTCTTGGCAAAGACTGCAAATATTGAGCGCCTGTATAGCTTGAGATTGTCGCACAGTATCATCAGTGTCATTTGCAGATACTAAAAACGGTATTTACCAGTCCCTAGGCCCTAGGCTGTATTGAGCAGGTAATTTGCTCTCTGTGTGTCCCCGCACTCGTTTAAGCTACTCCCACGCCTTTCTGACAGACATTCAAAGTGGCTGCTGGCTCTTCTTTTGGCAATTCCAAAGCCTCCGACCGAATGTGTTGCAATGCCATTGAGAACAACGGGCCTAAAAGAGAAACTTGGTGCTAATGTCTGACAGCTGCTGCATGGATCTGGTATCCATCTTGACTTAGTCACTCGAACAAAAAACGCATTGTTTCATTCAGCGGTTCGCATTGTTTCGCTCTATGCCACGTCTTTGCGATTTCTCATCGACCTACGTACCAACCCCTACCAACAGACAGAGTACCAGCGTCTGGCTGTGCCGGTTTTCTCCTTGTTCATCCTTTTTCTACTGTGTCTGGAAGTTCAGTCAAATATTCATAAAAAGGCGCATCTGCAAGCGAGTGACCACTTGGGCAACTTGAGTCAACTGAACTCTGCGACATTGTGGTCCAAACGATCTTGTCACCTGAAGTCTGGCTCCAGCAGCTGAGGTTCCCATGTCCAACCAATCAAACAGCTGAAACTGTACTGGTATACAATAGAAGGAACAAAAGAAATTAGACTTGGGCTCCCTTAAGGCCCCTGTAATGGCCTCGCATCTTGGGCTCAATTGTACTTCATGCTCTTTGTCCGTCTCCTTATCCTCATCCTCTTGATTGTCCTCCCACCGCACACGAATCCATGAAGCATGGCTGCCACAACGATGTTGCAATCAGGGCAAACATTGCGCCTCTGCAAAGGTGACCTCACCCTTGCGCCGGTGCCAATGCTCCTGCGGAGTGATCGATGCAGGCACAAAGTACAAATTGTCTAAGCAGCAGGCAAGCCACGAATCAAGAGTTTGTCCTCATTTATCTCTTTCAACTGCCTTCCAAGACAAGGAGACTCCAAAATAGAACAGATGAAAATTTTCAAAGAAGCCCTTTTCCCCTGTATATTGAAAAAAATGTCGAAAGGGCATTGTGCTGCCAGCCTCTCTTGCCGCAGCATCATTTCCCGATTGATAATGGCCAGGTTCTGGCAACAATACATTCAATCTGCAGAGGCCAACCAGCCAAATAGGATTTGATTGCAAGCTCCATATGCTAGCTGCCTAAACACCTCTCTCAACCACGTCTGAGCAACCACGCAACCATCACCCCGTGTCTTATCTTGGGCTCCTTCAGCTGCTGCTGCTCTGAACAGCATTGCTGGACGAGGTGGAGCAAAGTACCTGCTTACAACAGCTCTATTTACTGAGCTTGAAGAGATTCGAGTGCACCTAAGCCATCATTGATCCCCTCCAAAACGCCTTGGCAACGGGCAACGTGCACATGGATGACTCTTCCGGATCGTGCAAACGTATTGCTTTCCATGTAATGTCATTGCACCCAAACATGCTGATGAAGCCTGAGAGGTTGTGTGGCGTCACCTGCGACATATGTTGCCCAAGACTGCAAGAATGAGGGAGTTAGAACAAGGCAGAGGAAAATGTGCGAGGCCAAATCTTTTGAAACACAATTTCAGACGAAAAAATTAATGAAACATGAACCCTGGCCTCAGTTGTGGGAGGAGACATTTTGGCTCGGGCGTCGCCACAACAGGCCGATTGAAGCGACATGTCATCAGGCCGGCTACAAGCCCTGAGAAGTCAGGCAAAGTACAGCGTGGAATTTTGACTGAATCTTCTGTACCAACCAGCAAAGCCAAGGAGTTGCTGCAGGTTACCTTGTCCACGTCTTCATGTTTGCTGCAGGACGTCTTTGTTCGAAGGTTTCTGTGCGGGTCCTCTGTGGGTGGGTTCGTATGGCTGTTCAACTTGGATGCCCGTAGATGCTACATCTGAAGCGAATCTGCCTGGGCTTATCGCTTTATGTTCGACCTTTCTGAGCCACTACATGTGCATTCCATAATCACGTGTCCAGAGAAAGACTGCACAAACACCTAGAGATCTTCCACAGCTGAAACCGTCATCTCCGGGCAACGCATGCATTCTTGAGCAGTTCCAGAGCCACAAAACGATCATTGGAAGACGCCTCTGGATCCTGACAACTGAGATTGTGCAACAAAAATGAGGACAAAGCAATTGTCAAATCTTAACCAACATTGAACTTCAAGCGGCTCTCTCCTTCAAGATATTGGACAACATTTGCAAATGAGCAGGTCTGAAAAGGTGCTGCACGTCCACAATTGCCTCTCTAGCACTCTGGCGCTGCAGGTCTTCAACACAGCTTTTGCAGCCTATACACAATGACATAAGGTTGATTCCATATTGGACTCCACTTCAATGAGCCTGGTGCGTCAAGTCCTCAAGGACCTGGGCCTCCACCTGTCGAATCCAACAAGAAGGCTATGGCTATGGCTAAGTACACAAGCATCTATGCTAGAGACCGTTTGGACAGACCTGACAAATCAGAGTAGCAGATTAAAGAACTGAAGCTGGGCCACTGGATATTTGCGATACCATTTTGTTCCACCTTCATGGTGTTTGCAACTGTGCTCGTCGGCCTTGAGAAGCTTTTCGCCAGATGGCAGCATGCCTTACATCTCAGAAGGTATCCTGACCTCCCCTCGTGTTTTTTCTCTTTCTCTCTCTCTCTCTCACTACATACCGCAGCCATTGCAGGCTTTGAGTCCTTGAGCTTACGACACAAAGAAACATCGCACCACTAGATTGCAGAATCAAGCTCTACAGAACTCATTTACAAACTTTGACTTAAGCCAGTACAGTATATTTGATTAACAACTCTCACTGACTTTCTCTCTCTCTCTCTCTGCACATTTCACAATCTGGGTCCCGGTCACGTGGAGATCCCATCCGAGGACAGCTTTCGATACTGCACGCATTGAAAATTCTACAGTAAATGCTTCTTGCAAATTCACACGTGAGCAAACGAATGTAATGTGCCTCCGTTGGAACCTCATTTGCATGCCTAAAGCAACCAGAACAGAATATCCCTGGTTTTCCTACCAGAAGTTATGCTAAATGATGCCTTCACTACATGTGGTTGCAAATCTTGCAAGCAGGTGACAGGTCAAAGAGCTCTTCATACTTGAAGGGTGCGGCCTCAGAGAAGGAAAAGTGGCTTGCAATCCCTGCCTCTATCTCAAGCCCCTCACAGCAGCATGGCGAACCTAGCCCGCAGAATCGAACAAACCCTCAAAAGGCTGATGTTGTGCATGACGCAAAAGGCATGTGCTCCTTTTCAGCAAAAGGCAACTTAAGTCTATGTTTGATGAGATATCAAGCGGGTGGATTGAACACATGTTGGTTGCACATGAAGTCACACTGTTGAAGGAATCAGGAACACTGCTGATAGTTGCCTTCGCTCTACACAAAACCGTTAAAGAGGAGAGAAACAGTAACACCGATACGTGTCTGCTCTTTGCCTGCCAACTAGACACAAGTGGTCTGCAAGACCTGGCAAGCAAAACGATAAAATGCCATCAGGCCGAGGTGCGCTTCCAGAAGTAGAACAGGAGACACCCCAGCGCACCTGAATTGCCTCAAAATCCTTTGACCCAAGCGAAGTGCGGCCATTGGAGTATGTGTCTATCCTTAGAAAACAGAGCAGCAAGCCGTGTGTGGGGTCAAAAAGAAGCTGAGGAACTGAGGCACACACTGCACAAAAGGACAAAACAGAAGCCCAGAGCCGTGGAAAAGCGAACTGGGAAGTTGACAAGGTGGCACATTACTGGCTACGCCTGGGACCAGTGCTACATCTACATTGACATGGACTTACTGTGAGTACCATTGATTGAAAGAATTCTTTCTTTACTGACCATTCTAGTAATGACATGTAGTAACTAACTCTTCCTTTGTCTCGCATTTCCAGCGTTGCCAGGATCTGTGGCCTGAGATGAGCCTGCAAAATGCTGCGGAAAGCTGCGCCATACCACGCCCATGGCCAATTTGTCCATTTGCCAATCGATTGGAATGTGTTTTTCCCTAAAAATAGGTGCTTATAGTTTAAAAAGGAGGTCCAATCACGGGAGGGACTGGAAGGACTTCTGCACCTCTGATGAGCCCATGAAGGCCAGGACGCCTCCCAAGGCCGCGCAGGGAGCCTTAACCTCCAGCATCGCATACCTCGAAGCAGGGTGTCAAGAAAGGCAAAAAACAGAGTGAAGCAATGTGTGTGTGTGACCGCAAGAAAAACTAACAAACTGGACAAAGATGCAAAAATCTGAGACACACACCCTAAGATATAGTAGCTCATGCCAAGCATCAACTGATTGATGCCAACACTCATGGAAACGCGTGCAAAGGCATCATAGGTCTGCCAGTAAACAGCAGCCTGGAGCCAAACAAATTTGGGTTCCACCGTTCCATCACTTCACTCTCATGCTTCCTTCGAACCCTGCACCTGCCGAAGCAGCTTGATGTGTCGCAGTTCAGCGACCTAGAAGAGTCAGAGTCTCTGAGAGAGTCTGCAAGAGGCAGCGACCTGTTTCCTGACTCTAAGAAGCGGTCATGTACATGTCAGTGATAGTAACCGGGCCTCCGCCCCACTGTAGTTGTTGAGTTCGTAATTGGCGTCTCCTCCCAGGCTTAAGGCAGTTGTCGTGTGCGTTCTTATCCTTATGATCCACCTCAAGAGACCTGGTAAAGAGAGGGTAATAATGTTGTTGAAGATTTTGTCGACAAAGAGTAATGAGTAAGGAATAACCGGGCAGGTGGGACGGCGAAGGCCAAGACTCAGCACACTCGAGCATCGCGCAGGCTCTCCTCTTTGCTCAAGACCCCATGGGTCTGTGGACACACTGGAGTCCACCTCCATCTTCACAGGAAACTGAAGTTGATTCAAAAATGTTCCTAGTAGCGATGCCAGGAGCCCCTAGTGGCGTCCTTGCTCCTAATAGCGATGCCCTTTGTTACTAGTAGCTTCTTGCTCCTAGTTGATTAAAAAATCTTCACTGGCAGAGATGTAAAGATATGTAAAAATGTGTCTAGAGGCAGCATAAACCCACTCTAGTCGAAAGCGTTGCTGGTCGAACTTCGGTGTTTTGCTAAAGCCACAAGACAATCCAGACCTACGGCCCACTTGCAGACTTAAGTCTGTAGTCATCATTTAAAAAAATATCCCGGCAAGAGACCCCAAACAGTGTGTGTGAGGTCTGTAAGCAGAAAGTCTAAAGATCTAGACGCGTTGGGGTCCAGAGAGGTGATGGTGGTGATGAAGTGAAGGTGGGTGTGAGTGAGGTGGGTGAGAGGGAGCGTGAGTGTGAGTGTGGGAGAGTGAGTGTGAGTGAGAGTGAGAGTGAGAGCGAGTGTGAGTGTGAGTGTGAGTGAGCGTGAGTGAGAGTGAAGGTGGGTGTTAGTGAGTGTGGGTGAGTGTGGGTGAGGGTGAGAGTGAGTGCGAGTGAGAGTGGGAGCGTGAGTGTGAGTGTGAGTGAGAGTGAGTGTGGGTGAGAGTAAGTGTGCGTGAGAGTGAGAGTGTGAGGGAGTGTGAGTGTGAGTGAGAGTGGGAGACTGAATGAGTGCGAGTGTGAGTGAGAGTGAGTGAGAGTGAGTGTGGGTGAGAGTGAGTGTGAGTGAGAGTGAGAGTGAGTGTGAGTGAGAGTGAGAGTGGGAGTGTGAGAGAGTGAGAGCGAGAGCGAGAGCGAGAGTGAGAGTGAGGGTGAGTGTGAGTGTGAGAGTGAGTGAGAGTGAAGGTGGGCGCGAGTGAGTGTGACTGAGAGTGAGAGCGAGTGTGAGTGAGGGTGCGAGAGTGAGCGAGAGTGTTGGTGAGTGAGTGCGCGTGTGAGTGTGAGTGCGAGTGTGAGTGAGAGTGAGTGTGAGTGAGAGTGGGAGAGTGAGTGTGAGTGCGAGTGTGAGTGAGAGTGGGAGTGTGAGGGAGTGTGAGTGTGAGTGAAAGTGGGAGAGTGAGAGAGCGCTGCACCTGCCACGACATCTACACTTCGAGGTTCACCAAGTGCTGTGCCTGCCACGAAACCTGCACTTCTAAGGTTCACCATGCGCTGTGCCTGCCACGAAGTCTGCACCTCGAGGTTCGCCAAGCGCTGCACCTGCCACGAAATCTGCACTTCGAGGTTCACCAAGCGCTGTACCTGCCACGAAATCGGCACTGCGTGATTCACCAACTGCTGCACCTGCCACGAAATCGGCCCATCGGGGTTCACCAAGCGCTGTACCTGCCACGAAATCTGCACTTCGAGGTTCACCAAGTGCTGCGCCTGCCACGAAATCTGCACGTCGAGGTTCACCAAGTGCTGCGCCTGCCACGAACTCTGCACTTCGAGGTTCACCAAGTGCTGCGCCTGCCACGAAATCTGCACTGCGAGGTTCACCGAGTGCTGCACCTGCCACGAACTCTGCACTTCGAGGTTCACCAAGTGCTGCGCCTGCCACGAAATCTGCGCATCGAGGGTCACAGAGTGCTGTGCCTGCCACGAAATCTGCACATCGAGGGTCACAGAATGCTCTGCCTGCCACGAAATCTGCACATCGACGGTCACAGAGTGCTGTACCTGCCACGAAATCTGCAAACGAGCCACATGTCCAAAATTCACGATTCACTGCACCTGTCACGAACTCTGAGCTCCTTGACGATCACCACCATGTCCAAAGTGCTGCACCTGCCACGAAAACTGCATCTCGAATTAAAACAGCTCCGATCCCTTGCACCTGTCACGAAAAGTCGACTTTGGAGCACCAAAACACGAGGTTTCCCTTGCGCCTGCCACGAAAAGTGATCACCATGTGTGAAAGTGCGCACGGCACCACAACGAGAGCGCAGTCGCTAGAAGCACCCACTGTGGCCACCCAGATTCTGCGAGCCTGCGCAGTCGAAGTGCACATGGACGATGTCGAGAGGCATGAATGTACTGTAAATAGCAACGAAATAGCCGCACACGCCCGCGCGCTAATCTAAGCATCAGCTTCCTTTCTCCTACCGTAAGAACCCCTCAGTGTGCCCACACTGTTTGGGGAATAATAGTAATAATAAACAAGAAGAAGTTGAACAATGCAATACTACGACGCATGGCAGGAATTGCGAAACGTATGACAACAACATTTTGGCCTGACGGTCGCTGCCACCCGTGTTGCCAGTGACTTCCACTGTGGCAGTACTGCTTGAGGCTTCGGCTGTGTGTCCTGTTACAAAGCTTGCTAAACGCAGATCTCTGACAGGACAACTCAGCGAATTGCTTCATGTGCGGGTCCTGGAACGAAGTTCTCTTGAGCACCAGTTACAAAGGGCACACGAAACTGCTGCCTGCCCGGATCCGAAAGCGAACTTGGCAACCTCAACGACTTTACTTGCCGCCGGAAGCACCTTGATTCAACTTTCTCGAATTCCGAAGCCGCTGTTCGGGCGGCCTGCAGGGGTTGACGCACGAGTCAGCATCATCACTTTCCACGCTTCACCACATGGTCACACTCCGTCAAGCAAGATGCAAAAATAGGGAAGGGAAGGGAAGGTGTGAACTGCCAGACTGCTTGAGTTCACCTTTCAAGTCTGGCACATAGCAATCCGTGGAGACTCTGGCCTCCAGTTCTTTCCAAGTTGGAAGTGGCAGTCTGACCTGATCAATCTGCTCATTTCGTCTCCAACTGCATGTCAGGAACAAGAAGCTACTAGGGGCTCCTGGCATCGCTACTAGGAGCAAGGACGCTACTAGGGGCTCCTGGCCGTACTACTAGGAACAAGAAGCTACTAGTAACAAAGGGCATCGCTATTTGGGGCTCCTAGTCCCATCTCGCCTTTCAAGGCCCGGGGGTGTCTAGTCCATGACTGACAAGGTGACGGGTCAACTGCTCCTAGTTAGCGTCTTGCTCCTACTAGCGATGCCCTTTGCTCCTAGTAGCTTCTTGTTCCTAGTAGTAAGGCCAGGAGCCCCTAGTAGCGTGATTGCTCCTAATAATAGCGATGCCCTTTGTTACTAGTAGTGTCCTTGCTCCTAGTAGTATGGCCAGGAGCCCCTAGTAGCGTCATTGCTCCTCCTGGAAATGTGGCACGTGCATTTTGCAGTTTGAGGCACCAGCCAGTTGAGTTAGTATTCTCGCTTGGTAACTCTGTGCTGACACTGCCGCATGCATCGCCAACCTCAGTGCACATATCAGGACAAAGCTGACAGACTTTCTGTGCCGTTGAGCCAAAACAAGCCAAAGTCAAGACATCCACCAAATGGTCAGCACGAGATAAGAGAAGGCAACAACAGAAGCGATCTGGTAGCCTCGCCAATCTGAACTTGGTGAACTCTTGGTGAACTACAATGTATGCAGGACTCTCAACAAAAGACCAAACATGCAGGGTGCACCGATGACCAACCAATCCGGAGTGGTTTCTGGAAGTTGGCCCTCAACCCACATTGTGACGGTGAAGCTCAGCAGCAAAACCTCCGAAGTCAAGGCAGCAAAAGAAGATGTGTTTCAAAAGAAGATAGAGAAGTGAAATCTGGCACAGGGGTCTGGCGGCGAGCGCCATGGACTGTGATTGCAATTTCGAGGGTCAGGCATTGATGATGAGGTACAAGGACATCTTCTGCTCCGTGAGAGAAATGAAGTCCCGGACATCCTCCCAGGGGGTAAGTCTCAAATTCGTCCAAGAATATATCATTATGCATTACTCAACAAACCACCTCGCCCCAGGTGAAACCAAAAAAGGCACGCCGGGTGGGGCCTCTCGCCAGAGTTGGCCCTGGATCACACGGTACTTCCGCTCATGGAACTCCTTCTTCATACCTGGCGTTTTGATTGGGCTTTGGCAAAAAGAGTCAACTAGAACTTACATCTAAGGATTCATTCTGAAGGAGAGCAAGCATGCTCAGTCCACGCTGCTCGCGGTCGTTCTTGAAGTTGTCTCTGTTGTACTCATAAACCTGCCCGCTCTGACGACATTTTCAGAACAAGTGCCAATGTACTGGATGCACCTTGGCAGCAGCACCTGAAATAAAACGATCAATCGTGAAATGCTATCAAAAGTTCCAACTTCAAGCAATGAATGGCAAAAGCACCTGGTGTCATACCAGCGGCAGCAACTGCTACCCCGGATTCAAGAACTACCATGGCTGCAATGAAAGGGAATCCTCAGGATCACAGGTCGTCGTCGTCCCAAACAAATCCAGGCTTGCTTGTGTCAAATTTGCACCTGCTGCAATGAAACAGGGCTTAAGCTGCCAAACTTAAGCCCTTGTGATGACAGTAGATGACTGATGACCAATAAATTTCATTCAGAAGCCAATACAAAATACTTGCTGAAGAAACTAGGGCTTCAACTGGCTCGCTATCAAACAGGTGATGCAGCTAAAAGCCTCAAATGATCCCGCTGCCCTGGCTTCCCTTGTTATAAAAAAACAATAACGCTAGCTACGATGTGGTTGACCCACAATCCCCTTGTTATAGCAAAGATTGGAAACTTGGGGCTGTGATCCAAAGATCCAAAGACTGATACTAGGGCTCATACTGCGCTTCATGTCCTTAGGCCGGATACTTATCATTATCTGAGGATGCTGATCACATCTGCTGGGCTGCGAGCTGTATCTGCACTGAGTTTCTGGCTTAGTACGGAGGGTTCTAACGATGTAAGTGTCGACGCCGGCAAGTTTGCGGACGTGGACTGGAGCTCAAAAGCTGAACCTTTTGGCTACGGAAGAGGCAATGCCGCTTGGACGATCTTGGACTTGTCATGTAGCTCATGTAGCTTCAGAGAAGCATCAAATCACAAACCATGCGATTTGCGAGTGGGCCACAGATGTCTGTGCACCCAACTTCACCATGGATCCTTCTCTCGATGAATCCTTTGTGAACTCGCCAAAGGGCCCGTGCTGTACACATTGAGGCACTAGTCACCATCAAAGCCCACTTATGGGCCAAACTGGAGATTAATTTGCCGCAGCTGCTACAGTAGATCTAGCACAAACACCCCACCGCAACAGTGAAAACCTTGGCAGTTACAAGTACACGATGGAGTGTCCATGCCAGATCAAACAAAACTGTCCAGCTCACCTCAAACCCTTGAGCAAAGCTTCCATCTCCTTCAGGTGTCCAGTGCATACACGCAAAGATGCAACTTGTGCCCTAGTGCCTAATGTATTGAACATAGAGAGGGCACAATGATGTGCAATGAAAAAACAAAAAACACGTGCATACATATATTGTATATATAGGTTTGTGACATGCGGATGCCAGACCTCGCAGTCTCCACTGAGCTTCATCATAGTGCACTTGTAGAAGCTGGCAGGGATGTGGGCAAGCAGCTTCATGTTGTATACTTGAGTACAATGGATGCCAGCAGAGTTGTCGCTTGAAACAAAGCGCAGTTAACTGATGCTGCAATGTGCTGCAATGGCACGCATTTTGGCACCTCTGAATGCTGTCGAGATGATGGCGATCACGGTCGGAGACGAGGTTCACGGCAACTCCCTTGAGCCCGAACCTGCTTGGTGCTACGCAGTGCCACCCAGTGCTACACTCGGAAAAACTCAACGAAGCTTACCAGTGCCTGCCAGTCCGCCCGATGCGATGCATGTACGTCTCATAGTCAGGCTGTCCATAACTGCTGTAGCTCATTGGCAGCTCGTAGTTCACGACCTTACTGTACATCGAAAAACAATCAGAGCTGGAACATATCAACATGTCAAGCCACAAACTCCGTGAAATCCATATTTGGGTTCGGGCTAGAGTCACAGCAGGTACGTCAATACCACGTGACAGCACATCCGTGGAAATCAGCACCTGCCATTGTGTGAACACCATGGCCTCCAACTTAATAGCGATGGCCTCCAATCTAATAGCAAACTATAATAGACCGGTTCTTCCTTTTCTTTTTGATGCGACTGGTGCTGCTTCAATTTGCTGTCCCTCCTTGGTCACGCCGCTGCGGAACTCCTCCATCACCTAAGCAACATTATAAGGCGACGTGAGCCTCTCGTCCGTCACTTCTTTGTCTAAGTGTCTAAGGCGACGTGAGCTTAGTCTTCCAAGTTGCTTGGTCGCGGTAGGCTACGTCCACCCTTTCTGGACCTTGATCAGGGTCTCTAAAGGATTGAAAGTGTGACAGTGCCTGTCTTCCATGAGCCAAGCCTGTCTTCTGTGTGCCACAAATAAGGGAGACCTGGATCTCTACAAATTCTCAATCAAAGCAAAGCAAAGCAAATAAAGCACCCTTTCACGTTAAAAGGAATGTTTGTATAGCCTCTACAGCAGACATGTCCATCTACATTAATCCATTCGTTATGCCCAAGTCTTTATCTCAAAGGTCACAGGTCCTCATTCTCCAAACGAATTCTGGGTCCCCAGCTGCATGACCCTCAGTCTTCATCATCTTGGCAAGATCAAAGGCTGCCTGCCTGCACCAACCAGCACAAGAAGGTTACATTCTTGAGGTGGCTGGTTCCAAATGCAAAGCCTGGAGTTGACGAAAATGATGCTCTGCCCAATGTTCAACGCACCATAAAGATCTGAGAGTTGTCCATGTTTTTTGTCGGGTTTTCCGACGTCGATGTACCTCGTGAGTGAGGAAGGAGCCACTTTTTACCAGCAAACTGATCAACTGAAAACCCAGGCTTTGCACGTCTGGGTGATGGTTGACAATGTAAGATCCTCTTTTTGAACCTGTCGGGCACATCGGAACAATTTGATCGCAGAGATGAATAAGGTTGAATGGGGTTCTTTGGCACATAGAGCAGCTGTGCCTTGATGGTGTTGGCTTTTGGGACAAGCATCCTCAGGCTTGAGATTGTCTGCGAGGAAGCTTCGCTATTTCGAGCCAGCATGCAATGGCTTGAAGATACAAACAACCAGCACCGTTGTCTGCTCCAAGTGCCAGGCTTTGCAAATTTTTCGACATGGTCTGGCCATGTGGCTGAAAATAGAAGCACCTCTCAATGTCCAACCATGCTTGATCGTCTCAGCTGTCAATCCTCTGAAATGGCGCCTGGACACGTTCTGGAAGCATTCTTCGAACTTGAACGACCTTGGGAGGGGAGTCTGAAAAGAAGCGACAATGTTAACGCAGTGTATCCTCTCTGGCACAAGTGATGTCGATTTCAATCAGATTCAATCATTGATAGCCACCGCAGTTGAATGCTTCTTCACATGTATTGAGAAGCAAATTGGTATTACCAGAGGCTAATACGGCTACCCTCCCTCAAACAATCATGGAAGTGGAACATGGCCCCTGGAAAGATCATTTTCCTCTACAAACAGGGCTTGGTCCACTTCCATGGTTGTTTCAGGGAGAGTAATAATTAATATACTCGAGCTTCTGAAGCTTCTTGTATCACTGAATCACTCTGTTGCTGACCTGCGGTCCCATCTGCTGCCCCTGCAGAGACAAAGCTTCATGATTGGAAACTGCAAAGTCAACCAATCTTGCACAAGAGGAAGCATTGCCTCATCGATCATTACATCTGCCTGCATTCAGTTGGGCAGAGATCGAGGAGTTTCAAGTCCAACTTGAGCACACGTTCCGTGCCTCATCCACCACAAAGATGCTGAAGTTGCTTGGGTCGATTGTCCGCCTCTTGGTAAGGTCCTGGAAGGCCAGTAATACGTTGGTAGAGCTGAAAAGTTGTTGGAGACAAAACAAGTATATAACAGGTATTGTGTGTTTCTGGCTTTTTTTGCCCGCACCTACTTAATTAAGTAGAGCGGGCCTACTTAAGTAAGTAAGGGAGGAGTAAGCTACTAGGCGAAGTTAGTTTCTAGTAACTGGACGCAGGATAGCCCACGCTTCTTCAACGAAGCTCCCCCCGCCTGAGAGCGGAGGGGGAGCTTTGTTGAAGAAGCGCTTTAATGATTTGGTTCCTGGAGTTTTAGGGAAACTAACTTTCCATCAAGTTCACTTTCTTCAAACAACCGTCCTGCACCTTTCCTGGGGTACCAATGACAATCTGGGACTCCACCTGTCAATATCAGTGCTCAGGAAATGCCAACGGCTGACTCAAAACCGTAGCCAATGCACTGCATTGAACAGTGGCATCTTAGTGACAGTCTCAGCAGCAGCATGTTTGCAGTTGCTCTATTCTGGCTGAAGTGCACAGCGCACAGCGAATGTCCGTTGCTGACTTCATCGTAGAGCCCACTAAGGCTGATTCCCCTATTAACATCGAACCGCCCGGCAGGGAGGACAAGGATTGAAGATGATCGAAGACTACTGAAGACCAGCTTGGTTGATGAAGGCACCTGTGAACTCCCTCTTCAATCCCTCAAGGCTGTGCAATAGAGCTGACTGAGCTGACCCACGCAATGCCAATCATCGTGTGTCCATGATTTGACTGTACACGTGGGAATTGAGACTCTGGCGATCCATTCATGGATACGCCAAGTGAGTGCATTAACAATAAAGACACGTGCAAAGAAGCTGCCCAACATGGGCCAAGAATTCAGGCCATAAGCACTTTACTCAGTTGCCATTGCACCGTCATCGTCAACCAGCGTCCTTTAGGCTGAGATGTCCCTAGAGTGTCTCAACGTTGCAGGCTAATTGGCTTATAAAGGTCAAAAGGTGGGTTCACTATGATTCACTGCACTAGAGTAGGGTCCCAGACTAGAGCAGGGTCCCTTGATCAGATGAAAAATTGAATGAGCAAGAGTTTGACTCAAAACGTCAATGGCCGGTCCTCCTCCACATGGGCCTGAAGTTAAGCTCCATGTTTCAAAGCCAATGGACATTCTCTGCTTTCCTTTTTGTTCACTTGCTTTGGATTATGTTCATGATCCTGCACTCCACTTCTCCAGCTCCAACCGCGCCAAGAGCTCGACCGGCCTAGCGAGCAGTTTTTGCCAAGCCCGACTGCCCGGCTGACCAAAATAATCTGGTTTCAGGCAGCTCATTCTCCTAAACGTTTCCCTTCTGGGTTGCCGTCTTACTTGCATGGCATCACTTGTGGGCCTCGCTTCTAGTCTTTGTAGCCAAAGCCAGCAAATCAATTGGTCCACTCAAAGTGGACCGAGCGCTGCTTGCCCTTCCCTGGGCACTGCAATTCTGTTCCATTGCATTGGAAGCCAATAAAGTGGGAAAGAGTGTCAAATTGAGAGCTCGCGATGAAAGGTCTTGCAAGCTAACACAATCATAACAATAGGTGTTTTCGGTCGAAAGCATCAGTGAATGGCAAAGCGGATAGAAGCAAGGACACGTCGTAGCAACGGAGACATTCCGTAAGCATGGTAGCCCTGGTAACCTGAATTTTGCCATGTGATGTTCACTTGAAAACATCTTCCTGTTCACCACTTCGACCATGCGAAGGGGTTCTTCCGAGTTCCAAGAGCATCCTCTTCCTCCATCTACCACCGCTCCCAGTAATTGTTACTCTACTACTATAGCCCTACTAGTAGCTAGTTTCTCCTTTTGGCGCTGCCCCACCAAAAAAAAACAGTATATATACATACGACAATCAATAAACAACTAAATAAATTGAAAACAACAACAACAACTACTACTACTACTACTACTACTACTACAATAACAGCAACAACAGCAACAGCATGCAACAGCAGCAACAGCAACAGCAACAACAATGTATAACCACAATAAAATCCTCTCAAAACCTGCTTACTTGTCCTACCTCCACTCAGTCAAGATTCGGCTCCCAGATCAACCTCCCAACTGTTCATACACAGGTGTGCACCGCCATGTGTCACCCAGTTGCCCAGTGGGGCGTCGCGGTGCTGGACAGAAAGCACTGAACTCCCCCAAACTCACTTCACTCGCATAGCAACAGCTGGAACCCAGCTGAAAGTTGGCTTTGTGGTCGGTTTGAGTCTAGGAGCCGACGCAAAAACACACGCAAAAGCTTGCATATTGACCTGTGGCACATCACATATTATGCCAGCATGGACCCCAAACAGTTTCTTGTTTCCCCTAACTTTGTTACACTGGCCACAGTCTCCGGCCGCGCCCCTGAAGCCTGTGTCCGGGTGTTCTCCTCCTGCTGTCCTCTTCTTGTCTTCCAGTTGTCCTCCTCTTGTCCTCCTGCTGTCCTCTCGAAACCTGTGTCTTCCTCTTGTTCCTCAATCAGTTTAAGAAAGGCCCTGCGTCGTGCTTGTTCAGGCTTTATCCGGGTCTGCTTGGCAGCGCTGCCTTGTCCAGGTTTGTTCAAGTCTTGCCTGGGCGCTTGTCAGCGTTGTCGGCCCTTTCACCATCGCCTTGTCCAGTCCCTGCTTGGCCATGCCCCTTTCCCTTTCTCCACCGCAATGTCCGGGCATGTTTTTGCGTGGCTATGAATGCAACAGTGGTGCAGTGCTTCAAACTTGATATCATCATCGGATTTTCTCACGACATACATCCTTTCGTTTTGGCGAATGACATGTGACCCGATTTTTACCCTGCCATTCCCAAACAGTTGGAAGCTATATACAGTATACATGTCGGAATGCAACTCATTACAGAGGATACCACCAACATCGGAATCCAAGGAGTCGAAATAATGCCGAAACTGTTTCAGTAATTTGCGTCAACTCCTTGAACTCCAACGTTGGTGGTAACGTCGGTAGTATTAATTATATTCCTATACAGTAGCCTCCAGCTGTTTGGGAATGACATGTAAACAAGGCACATGTGCAAAAACGAGGGGATATATGTCGTGAGAAAATCTGAGCATGATAGAATCTTCGAGGTGCTGTATTACTCTTGCATTCATGGCCACACACAAAAACATGCCCTGACAAGGCGGTGGAGAAAGGGAAAGCGGGACAAGGCTCGGACAAGGCAGTGATGGACAAGCAGGACACACAGACCGGGACAAGGTCTGGACAAGGCGCAGAAGGGTCCACAGCGCGATGAGGAGGAGGACACCAACAGGACAAAAGGAGAACACAGGGCTCGCAAGCGTGGCTAGAGCACAGCAAGAGGGCACCAGGAGCCAGGACAACTGGAGGACAATACACAGGGTTCGCCGGTGCGGCCAAAGGACAGCACGGGGACGATAGCAGGACAAGTAGAGGACAACAGGACAACAACACCCGGACGGTCAGAGACTGTGGCCAGTGTCTCTTTCCCTAAGAGAGGACCCCAACTGTGAGTTGTTTGGGCCATTGGGGGAAAACATGTATATTTTTGTTTTTTGTCTCACGGACCTTTTTGGTTCAGTTATCCTCTGGTTCAGCCGTTTTGGTTTTGAAACACATAGGCAGTTGCAACTGCTGCCTTGTGTTTTTGGCGCAGATCCTTTGTAGCTGCTTGTTCGCTTGCCATTGTCCTGCCTTTGCCACTGCACACGCGTGGCATTCGCGGCAGTAGACCCAGCTGGCTCGCCGCCAAATCTCATGGGTCGGGTGCCAGCCCATTGCTTGGGTACCTCCCAAGTTCCATTCCAGCAAGGGCTTTTGTGAAGCTGCTGGATCTCTCCCGTGCTGAATTCCGCATGCCACATTTCCAGCACTATATAATTAGATGGTGTTAAAGCATTATCTAATTATAGTTAAATATGATGACGCTATCTGAATATGATGCTATATAACAGCAAGAGATGATATAGAAAATTTGTTGATAATGCTAAATATCCAGTTGTTAAAGATAAAAAATTAAGCAGTGTTGTAACTTGAGGCCAAGGGGGGGGGCGAAAGCTAGCGCTCCAGAATGGGAAAGTGGAGGGCAGCGAGGTAGGAAAAAACACGGCGCTCTTTTTGGAGGCAAGAGTCCTTTATATGTGGCTCTTTGCCCGGATCCTCCTGCGAGAGAAGAGAGAGAAGAGAGACGGAAAGACGAGAGACAGAGAGGAGAGAGAGAGAGAGAGGAGAGAGAGATGAGAGAGATGAGAAAGAGATGAGAGAGATGAGAGAGA